TCCCCCAGAGCTCCCTAGAAGGAGCGGGTGGATGATGTATATTTTTTTCAGAACTGGGAAACCCCAGTTTACAGATGGGAGCTCTGTAGTTTTGTCAGTGAACTTTCAAGGGAGATAAGATAAAAGCAGGAGAGGAAATTGTTTATAATCATGAGGACTTACTGTGTGCAAGGTGCATGTATGTGTCCTTTAAGTTATTCTTCATAAAAACCATACGATAAGCTGCACTGCAGTCCCAGAGGTATGCAGTTCAAGTTCACCAGATGCTCTTCTGGAGAAGGAGGGGCAATTTTCTCCTGTACTGGTCAGATCTGATTTGACTATACAAACAAAATATTATTTTAAAAAATTTAAAAAAAGAACTGTATGATATGTTTCCCAGCATTCTTAATTTTATTATATAGTTGAGAAAATGAAGTACTGGGGGAATGGAAGCAGCCACACCAGGTCCCCATGACCAGAGAGGAGGACAGAATGATAAGAAAGAAACATAAAAACCTTATTTCTATTCATACTCTAGAAAATGATGATGCATCAGATTTTAAGTTGTGAAAAGTTACTTGGGCATGTGTTGTTTTTTTCCTGGTATTTGCTGTGCAGACCCGACCCAAAGTCTTCTTGTGGGGCTCATGGTAAACACAGACATGTTTACCTGCTTTATCTTCGATTAAGACTCCTCTGTCTGTGGCTGTTTTACTTGCTGCCAACTCTGTAGACTTTGAGTTTGGAACCTCTAGCTATAAAATGAGCGTGAAGAGGAAAATGTTTTTAAATAGCTCTAAAAATCAAACAAAACAAAACACACCTTTCTTTTTTTGCTCATGAGTTACTCTCCATAAAGATTATCCAACACCATCTGAGATATGTATCGTAGAGATTAGCTCGAATATAGTTTTTAAAGAAAGCCCTTGTTCTGTCAGAGGACTGTGAGGAGGCATTCTTGGATTTTGCTCTTCAGTCGTTTTAAGAGCAGCTCAGGAATGGAGCTGAATGAGTTCCTTCATAGACCGTGTAGATATTGTCCCAGGAAAGTTCATTACAGGATTATAGTAGGATAGTATGATGATCATGGTGATTCTGACTTGATCTTCTGGATTTGAATTTTTTTTTTTTAAAATGAAACAATTGAGACTGTTCTTTCTCAGAGGTAATGAGTTCTGTCCGTTTCCAGCAGCTGTAAGGTTTATTTTTCATGTTCTCGTCATAGTAATTCCACAGCAATCTCTCACATAAGAGGGCTATCAAAGTATATTAGCTTCTGTAGACTTCTGTAGGTGTCTGAAATAAAATAAAACATTCTTCTATGGGTGTCTGAAATGGAATAAAACAGTGGCTGTAAAACACCAAAGAGAGCTTGGTTCTCCCTGGAGCAGCTTCTGCCTCTCCCAAATTACAAAAAGGACAATGAAGCCAACTCTTATTTTTTTTCTCTCTCTCTCTCTCTCTCTCGATTCTTTTGGAAGCAGGAGTGGCATATACTCCCTAAATAACATGCCTCCAGAAATGATGAAATTTGATAAATGTCAATAGTTGTAGAGGGGCCTCAGGCCTTTTGTTCATAGGGTCGCTAGGAGTTGTGCTCGACTGGAAGGTAACCAATAACAACAACAACAACAACAATAGAGACTTCTAACCAAATTTGAGGTTCATCTATAGCCTTTCTGTCCTCAAACATAAGTTTTCTGCTCTAATGCATCATTTCCTTAGACCTGAGGGACAGCGCAGGAGGGGAAGACCCTCTATGAGGTGCATTGATTCAGTGACTGGGGTAATCGGGATGGGTGTGTCAGTCAGAGGCAATGCGATTGGCACAGGATAGAGCAGGGTTTAAGGCTGTTGTACATAGGGTCGCTATGAGTCGCAAATGACTCGACAGCACATAACAACAACAACAATGCTTTTCTTATATTTATTGTGCAAACACACAATAAATATAAGAAAATAAGGATGACAGAGGAAGAATTGACACCTATGAGCTGTAGTGTTGCAGAAGAACACTGAACTGTTGGCCAAGAGAACCAACAGATATGTCTTGGAGAGGGTGAAGCTGGAGTGCTCTTTGGAGACAAGAATGATGAGGCTTCACTTCACATAATTTGGGCGTACTGTTAGGAGGGGCTATTCATTGGAGAAGGACATGATGCTGGGAAGGGTGGAGGGTTGACAAAGGAGAAGACCCTCAACCAGGTGGATTGACACTGTGACTGCTGCATAGAACAGGGTTCAGATTTTTTGTTCATAAGGTCACTCTGAGTCATACTCAACTCGATGGCACCTAACAACAACAACAACATTGTGCAGTTAAGTGGAAGCATTTAGCTACATTTTCCTCCTCTGCCCCCACAATGTGAAAGCAGACCATTCCTGTGGAACCATTTGTAAGCCAAACTGGTGTAAAATGGAGAAGCAGTTACCATTCATTTATATGGAGAAGTTTTTTGAGCCCTTCCAGACCCTCCCCAAAATAACACACCGCATCATAGCGCATTAACACATAAAACCTAAAATAACACTGACATCAAATCCTCACAGACACAGTTTGAAGCTGTAGCAACTTGATGATGAGACACAGAGGGAATAGTTGTTTGATGCTAGGATGCTGAGAGGGGAGGAAGCTTGGTGATACCTTCACTGCTTACAGTGTGTGTACTGCCTTTTTTCCCCACCAGTTTTTTTTTTAAATTTATGCTCGTTTACATACAAAGTTTATATACATTGTTTTACAGATTGTACCTTTCCCTTTCCTTTACCTTTCCCTCCTTTCACCCATCACATTTTATGACCCTGTGTTTAAGTGCCACTCCCCTCTACATGCCCTACAGTAATGGTCTAATACAGTATTTGTCTTTATGAGACCGAGTTAGTTCACTTAACATAATGCTCTCCAGTCCCTCTCATGTTAGGTTGTAATTTACAAAATTGTTGCTCCTGTGTGCTGCATCGTATTCCATTATGTGAATGTACCATAATTTTTCCATCCATTCCATTGAGGGTGGGCATTTGGGCTGTCTCCATGTTCTTGTGATGGTGAATAATGCTGCTGTGAACATTGGGGTTCAAGTCTCTGTGCCTCAGTTCTCATTTTCTCAGGATATTCCAAGTAGTGAAATAACTGGGTTATATGGAATTTCTATGTTCAGCTTTTTGAGGGAAACGCCAAACTGCCTTCCTGAATGATTGTACCATTTTACAATCCCAAGAATGTGTAAGAGTTCTTATCTTGTCTCATCTTCTCTAACATTTATTACTTGATTCCCTGCTAACCTTTGCCACTGCTGCTGGGGTAAGATGGATCTCATGGTGGTTTTCATTTGCATCTCTCTTATTGCAAGTGATTTTGAGCATCTTCATGTATCTGTTTGCCATCTGAATGTTCTCCTTTATGAAAAGTCTTTCCATGTCTTTTGCCTATATTGTAATTGGATTATCAGTCTTTTTTCTTCTGGAAGCCCTGTAGGATTCTGTAAACTTTTGTGATGAGACCCTTGACTGAGATGGTATTGATAAATGCTTGTTCCCAGTCGGTAGGTTTTCTTTTCACCCTGTTGGAAATAGTTTTTGATGAGCACAAAGATTTAATCTTTAGAAAGTCCCATTCATCAATTTTATCCTCTTCAGATTGTGTATTTCTGACTGTATTTGGCAGTTCCTTCATACTATAGACAAGGCTTTCTAAGCTTGGTGCCTTTTAAATGGCTAACAGCAACACAGAAACTAAACACTGAAGTTTAGCTTTTTGCTTTTATTCCTAAAAGAGAAAATCCTGTCATAGTAACAAAAAAAAAATAAGTATGAGCTTCATCTTGCTTGGATCCACGATTAACACCCTTGGTACTAGCAGTTAGGAAATATGGAGACATTGCACTGGGAAAATCTGCAGTTAGAGAACTTTCCAAATTATTGAGGATTAGTGATGTCAGTTTTGAGGACTAAGATGTGTCTCAGATTCAGGCCATAGTCTTTCAGATTACTGGCTATGCATCTGGGACCTGGACAGCAAATAAGGAGGACAGAAAAAGAATTGACGCCTTTGAGCTCTGGAGTAGGAGAAGAGCACTGAACATCTCATGGACGGACAAGAGAATGAAAGGAAGAGTCTCGGAGAGGGTACAGCCAGAGTGCTCTTTGGAGGCAAGAATGAGGAGGCTTCACCTCACATGCTTTGGACATATTGCTTGGAGGTGTTATTCCTTGGAGAAGGACATGATGTTGGGAAGGGCAGAGGGTCAGGGAAGGAGAGAAAGACCCTCAACCAGGGGGATTGACATGGTGACTGCTGCAGTGGGCTCTTGTGCGTCAGGAAGTGTGAGGATGGTGCAGGACAGAACAGGGTTTAGATCATTTGTTCATAGGGTCTCTATGAGTCATACTCGACTCGATGGCAACAACAACAACAACAATGTAGATCTTTCGAAAAAGTGAAGTGGCATAAAGCAAACTTGTGAAAAGTAGGACTTACCTGTTTAACTTGAATAAATAAATTTTCTATTTTAAATAAGTGATCGGTATTAATTTTTTCTTAGAAACAGTGCTGATTTGAAAAAATCGAGAAACAAATACCTTTTCCATCTGTTAAACATTATTTTGTCTTTGTCAGGCAACACAAAAATGGTTTCTAAGGCCAATTCCATGTAGTCCATCCTACAGAATCATAGACGGAATTAGAAATTTGTCATCAGACTTGCAGTGAGACACACATACACACTCACATGAACACACCTAAATAGATATTTTTATCTATTGCATGTTAACTAGTTTACTCATCTGAATGTTTAAAAGCATTCATCTAAGCATTAGTACCTCTTAACAGGAAAAAGAAACCCCAAACATACAAATATATAGCTAGAATAATTGTAACGTCTTTTATTTAGGGATAGGATTATCTTTTTTCTAATCCCAAGGTATTGAATGATTTCTATTACCTTGTTTAATTTTGACAGAGATTTTAGGTTTATATTTATTTGAACATAAACACAAATATCTTTTCTCATTCCAGGCAGAACTAAACTCCACATCTCCTTTCCCAAGCAAAGAACTCGCTAAAGCTACAGAAACTTTGCTCAATAGTCTTGGATCACTGGCCAAAGAGGTAAGTCCTGTCTTTCTGGACTCAGAAGGTCAAACATCCACTTGATTTATCCAGTCGCTTTGTTCATCTCTGCATTTGGCTAACTCGGAGCCAGCCAGCTATTTAGGTGCCAAAAAACCAGTTGTATTCTTTTTGATTTGAGTATAAAATAAAAAGTATACTGTGGAGTTTAGAAGCATAAAACCTAAACCCACTTGCGTCAAGTTGATTCTGATTCCTGGCGACTGTTGGGTTTTCAAGCTGTAAATGTTTGTCGGAGGAGATGTTCTCCCTTGGATTGCCTGTGAATTTGAACTGCCAGTCTTTCAGCTAGAGCAGCCAGTGTGTATCACACTTTGCTACTGTGTCTTATTTGATTTCCTTACCAGTGAAGAAACTACGACCCACAGATGTCTCAGAGTTAATGAATTTGGTAATGCTGATGTAAGAAACTGCCTTGCCAACTCAAAGGCACACGGTTCAAATCCACCAGCTGCTTTGCAGGAGAAAGATGTGCAGTCTCCTTCCACGTGATTTACTGCCTCTGAAAACTCACTGGAGGGTCAGCTCTGAGTTGATCTGGATTTGATGACAACGACAAATTAGTCTAGAACTTCTTTATTTCTATCTCTAGGTAATGATACATTTATAAAGATAAGAACCTCTTACCCATCCATCCCATGAACTGCTTTTGTTCTACTGGTATCTTCTTTGTGTTTGTTTTCACCAGCAAGAACAGGTAATTGTTCTGCCAAAACATTTACAGGTTAACAAGTAGTAACATAGTAACTACAATTATATCTATCCCCTGTAAACATCTGGCGTCTGAGGTTCTACTCTGGGAATCATCTCTTGCTGAACACCAACTCGAGTTTGTCTTTCATGCCCTCGTGTTAATAAGTGTATTCGAATGACCTTTATGGTAGGAGCAGAGAGCCTTTTGGTGCTTGTAAAACTGTTTAACTCTGTCACCTTCTTGGCCAAACTATATCTCCTTTCTGACTTCAGATTTGTTTCAGATTAAACTTGGAGAGCCTCCTCTGAATCCACAGTGTGTTAAGGCACAGACTCAAGGAACAGTGACAGAAACAACACAGCCTTCAGTGTGTAACATTTACCATAGGAATAGTGTGTGTGTGTGTGTGTGTGTGCTTGTATCAGTTTTTCAAATCTCAGAGTCAAGTTTATGTTTAATGCAGATGAAGGGATAATGCTCGTTATGGAAAGTATAAACACTTGGAAAATACAGAAAGGCTAGGGATGAAGCAGTGTTGACCCTTTGGTACATTCTCTGTGATATCTTCCTTTCAGTTCTGTTCCTGTGTCTCACTAAGAGGCTTGCCTTCCCGGTGTCCTTTTCTATAGGAGAAACCCTCTCCTATCCTGTTGTTTGCTACTCTGGCACTGAATTCTGGTGACCTGACTCTAGGTGGAGAAGTCGGTTGTACTGAACTCTTCCAGTAGGTGGACTGAGAAGCAGAAGCTGCAGGCCCGTAGCTAGCTGTCTCAGGTGTGAAACCCTCAGCATTTCTGTGAGCTAAAATGAGTGTGTGACAGGTCCCCTCCCAGGCCCCTACCCTCTCTTACATTCCTGACCTTAGAGAAAACAAAACAGGGCCTGTATGTAACAGGCTGCCTTGAAAGGCAGGGTCTAGCTGCATCTGTTTCCTATTATATCATCGAACCTGCCTTTTGTCTGTAGTTAAAAAAAAAAGTAATTGAAAGCATGTGATGGTCCAGTTGCTGATGTGGCAGAAATCTCCGACAGAGCAATATCCATTTTCCTTGACAGCTGCTTCCGTGTACCCTGTTTGCACCCCATGCCAGGGCAAGCAAGGACCACCCACTCATCTCAGTAGGGACCCCCCCCCAGTTGCTTTGACCATGAGTCATTCCTTGTCTGATTTGCTATTTCTCAGTAACAAATGGGCAAAGATAAATAAATATAGTTGTTTATCTGATTAGTGTTTGGAAACAGAGTTTGTTGTTTTGATCACAGTACAGGCTCTTGATAAGAAATGTAGCATTTTACAAGTGAAAATTTTAGAAGAAGCTGGGGATGGCGGCAAGGAAGGTAGATGGCATATCAGTTAGGAAGTCATCCTCATGGATCGAGAAAGCAGAGAATTGGTTACCTGTCAGCTTGCACATCCTAATGGGGATAAAAGCACCCCAACTTGAAGATGGGGATATGGGACCAGAGGGGAAAAGGAGAACCTCATTCCTGTGAGTTTGAGAACCATTCACAGAGGATGTGTGATGTGTGAGCTGAGGTGTCCAAGAATGAGGTAGGACTTTGCTTCCAGGACAAGTACTAGGGAGGCTCAGTAGTTTGAAATGACTCAGTGAGCAGTTTGAAATGACTCACTGAGAAGTTTGAAATGACTCAGTGGTTTATGATGTTTCTATAAAGAGATAGGCTGGCTTTATGTTAGAAAATGTATATTTTCTTGATTGGGACTGCCAGAAGTTCAAGCTGGGTTTAGAAGAGGCCGTGGCACCAGGGATATCATTGCTGAGCTCAGATAGATCCTGCATGAAAGCAGAGAATACCAGAAGGGCTTATCTTTGTGTTTTATTGACTACAAAGCTATTTGATTGTGTGGATCATAACAAATTATGATTAACCTTGAAAATAATGGGAATTCCCAGAGCACTTAATTGTGCTCTTGTGAAACATCTAACTAGAGTAAGAAGCTGTTGTCCACACAGAGCAAGAGAACACTACGTGGTTTAAAATCAAGAAGCATGTGTGTCACAGTTGTATCCTTTCTCCATACTATTCAGTCTGTATTCTGAGCAAATAATTGAGAAGCTGGAGTTAATGAAGAAAAATGTGGCATCAGGATCTGGAAGCTGCATTAACAGCCTGCGGTATATAGATGACACAACCTTGCTTGCAGAAAGTGAGAAAGACTTGAAGCATTCACCACAAAATATCAAAGAGTTCAGTATGAATGACATCTCAACTTCAAGAAGACAGAAGCTTCACCGCTGGTCAATAGGCAACATCATGATAGATGGAGAAAAGATTGAAATTGTCAACAATTTCATCTTACTTGGATCCACAGTAAACACAGTGTAGTGTTAGAGACAAAAACAGAATATCCCATGGACTGACAAAATAACAGATATGTCTTAGAGAAAGTGCAACCAACATGCTTCTTAAAGGTAAAGATGACAGAACTTCATCTCATGTACTTTGGGCATGTTATTAGAAGGGTCTATTCCTTGGAAAGGGACATCATTCTTGGAAAGGTGGAAGGTCAGCGATAGAGAGGAACATTTTCAATGAGATGGATTGACTAAGTGACAGCAACAGTGGACTCAAATAATGTCAGAGATGCTGAGGGTGGCACAGGATAGGATAGGGTTCTGATCTATTTGTATGGTCTCTATGAGTTGTACTCGCTTTAAAGACACCTAACAGCAACTGTTGTTTAAAAATTGGCAGGTCTGCTCAGTCAACCCAGCAAAGAGAAAAGGCAGTTTGGCTTCCGACTCTTTGCTTGTCTCTGTGTTCATACAGGTTGTGAAAAGATCCACATGAACTAGGTTTTGCCCTGTTGTGTCCTCGTGAAGTATGCTGGATGCTGTCTTTTGGGGAGAGAAGGAGACTTTCCTGTCTTGAAAAGTTCTCATTCATTTCTGGAAGTAGAGGCAAAGATCGGTGGTGCTCAGACCTGTGGATCAGCAGGATCTTTGAGGTAGAAAATTGGACAGAAGGAACTCCAGTCTAAGCCTTCTCAAAGGCATGTGTGGGGCCTGCATCTCACATCTCTGTTCTCCTTGGCTCAGTCTTCTCAGGTAGTGAGAACAGACAGTGATGGTTCAAGGAATGTGGGGATTTAAAAATGATTTGCTGGGAGATGCTTGAAAATGCAAAGTGCCTTATAAATATTTAATCATAAGATCAGCTAGGCCAAGAACTCTGCAAGGAGCTGGAGTGCATTTGTGTATGAGATAAAGTACCGTCATTGATGCTTTCTGTACTTAAGTCACAGGTGCGCCCACCGGGTTCTTTGGATTCTGCCTTCGCCTATTCAGGGGACTCTCTCCGAGGGCCTTTGCAGATAGAAGGTATTATTTACCTGCAGATAGAGGGTATTATTTACCTTTCACTTCAGAAAACATCATCATCCTCTTTGTGAGAACTTGGTTCTCTAAGTTGTTGTTAGAGGCTGTTGCATAAGATCTTGGTATAGAGCACTCTCTGCAGCGCCATCACAGTCATTGTTATGACTGAGCCCCCTGTTACAGCCACTATGTCTTTTGAGGGTCTTTTGTGCTGATTGCCTAATTTCCAAGTTTAATGTCTCCTCCAGGGCCTGGTTCCTCATGATGACATGTCCATCGTTGGGGAGATAAGGTCCTGCTTTCCTTGCTTCTAAGAAGCATTTTGGCTCCACTTCTAAGAAGGGTTGGTTTGTTCTTTTTGAAGTGCATGGTGTATTCCGTGTTCTTCACTAACACCATCATTCAAAGGCATCAGGCCTTCTTTGGCTTTCCCAATACATTGTCCAACTCTCACATGCAGGCAAGGTGATTAAAAAATACCTTGATTTGGATGAGACGTAATATAGTCCTCAGAGTGACCTCCTTGCTCTGCAGCAAGGGATTCTTTTGAGCAGGTTTGCTCAGTACCATATATTGTGTGATTTCTTGACTGCTGCTTCTTTGTATGATTTTTGTTGTGGATTCAAGTTAATGAAAATACTTTTCTCTCTTTACCATGATGTTACTTACTGATCCAGTTGTGAGGATTTTTGTTTTCTTTATGTAGGGCTATAAGCTGTACTGAAGACTGTCATCTTTGATCTTCAGCAATGCTTCAAGTCTTCTTTTAGAAACATATTGAGAGGCAGTATTTCCCTGGTCTGTCTTTCTGCCTGTTTCTCTCTCTGCAGACCAAGGAATCCCACCCAGGAGCCCCCATAATAAAGCTTTTTTAGCTTCACCAAAAAGAAAAAAAAAAGAAAAAGACAGAAAGAAACATATTGTGAGGTTATTTTTTTAAATGTGTCTTCCTCCATTCCTGTTGCCATATTCTTCATAAAATCCAACTTCTTAAGTTATTTGCTGAGCCTACAACTAATAGTTGGGATTCAAATTCAAATCTTCTGCTATCATACATTTTTCATTGCCTGACACTTGTCTGAGACCAAGAGAGGGAATTGTGTGTTTCCTTTCTTCCCAAGGAGTAGAAGACTCCTGAATTTCCACATGGAAGTTTGAGATGTTTCAGAAATGAATCACAATGATCCAGGATGTGAGCAAGTCCTGATGTAATTATCTGCACTCAGACATAGCTGTTTAGAGAGAGCATTCTCTTCTGTCAGACCAGAAAATAACCCCTGGAGAAATTAAACCCATCTCCAGGGGCTCCATTAACTTCTAGACTGTGCTGTTCAAGCTTTAGTGTGCCTCAGGAATCCCCTGGGCTTCCTGTTAAAATGCAGATGTGGATTGTGTAGGTCTGCAGGGTGACCTCAGAATGTTCATTTCAAACACATTCCTAGGTGATGTTGGATCAAGGACCATAAATTGAGTATCAAAGTTTTAAAGGACCTCTTCCACGACCTCGGGAAGCTAATGTCAGACCAAATAGGTTCTAGAATGTGGCTTTTGAGAGATCGATCAGATGAATAAGATGTCTCTTTTCTCTGCCTCCTTTCCCTCTCCTCTCCCTTGCCCTCTCTTTTCTTTCCCATCGCGGATGCCAGGTCTTCAGCATGAGGAGCTGGAGTGACATGCGGCAGGAGGTGTTGTTTTTGACCAACACCAGCAGTTCCAGCTCCTCCACCCAGATATACCAGGCAGTGTCCCGCATTGTGTGCGGCCATCCCGAGGGTGGGGGACTGAAGATCAAGTCCCTCAACTGGTATGAGGACAACAACTACAAAGCCCTCTTTGGGGGCAATGGCACCGAGGAAGATGGCGTCTTCTATGACAATTCTACATGTAAGTGTCTGTGGCTACAAGCCCCAGCTTCATAGTGACCTCAACTCTAGACTCAGTCCTGTACCTTCTCCTCCAACAGAGGTGCCCACAGGACTTTGTGCTTACCCCCATCAAGTTCTGTAGTGGGGTTAGATGTGCGTGGATCTGTCTCCCTAACAGATTCTGAAATTCTGGAGAAGAGAATCTTTTCTTAGGAACCTAACTGTCCTCGGTCTCTGAATGCTGCTGTTACATCTCAAGGTTGCTCAGTAATGCTCATCAAATGATTGAATGACTGAAAGCCACTCTTCCCAGGTTCCTGGGATTTGGGGAGTAGGTCCTAGAGTCATAAAGGGAAAGATACTGATCTCTTTAGAAATCGTTATTGTAACTAACCTTGAGGTAAGCTTAATAATAGAAATGTTAAAATAACAGTAAAAGTAGTAACAACAATGATAGTGAAAACTAATACTCAATGAATATTCCTTACATACTGTGCATCTTTCTTAAGTTCTCACTTTTAATTCTTAGGAAAACCCCCAAGGAAGGTTTCATAATCTTCCATTTTATAGACTGAGAGAGATTAAAGGACTTGGGCAAAGCCACACCATGCCTAATCAGTAAGAACTGGGATTCTCCCTGTTTCTGCCTGATGTCATTCTTTTCCTGGTAATCTGCACTGCCTCTGAGTTACTGAGCCGAGGCGCTGTGTACGTTACCACCATTTGGTCTGCTGTTTGTTTGTTGCTTTTAGCTACAAGACAGTGTTAAAGAACCTTGTAACTTCCTATCTGTCTTCCGCATTTGGACAGTTTTGTGGAGGTGTGTCCCAATGGCAGATAGGAGTCACTGTTACCATTTTAGACAGTGATATACTTTTGCTTGAAAACATGATGCAGGTGAACCTTTCTCTATTTCTAGCTTCAGGTGTATCTTTCAGAACCCGAGCAAAGCACCTTTTTGTGTGTTCCTGTAGCACAAGAACGTCTTCTTCTGGAGTTTAACACTCCAGACAGTCGTAGGTGACTTTGCAAGCTTCAAGACAATGGCCAGAGAGGCTGTTTTATGAAATATCATCCCTCTTCTCCCCAGCCTGAAAGGCAGTTCAAAAAGAACTTTCCACTGTGCTGTTGGTTAAACTGTGAGGGACAGCCTTTTCCTTCCTCCTCACATAAATAAAATTTTAGCATGTTTTTAACATATAGAATATGCTTAATATCTTCCAAAACAAAATCAGTAAACCAAAGTGAAAACCAGCACAAAGTAAGTTAAAACCAAAAAAATCTAGAAACCCATCTGCATCATCAAACCCTACTTGTCTCTCATAGTATGGGATTTTTCATTTGTGGGTTTTTATTACAGGCAAGTATTACTGGGATGAAACAGAAGAAAATGACATTTCTGATTTCTTAATTAAGGGGAAAGTTTGAATTGTCACTTGTAAATTAATGTCTGAATTCAGCCTTCTCATTGCCCTTCAGATGATAGTTTTCATTGAAAACAGAGCAGGAGGGTTGACGAGAATACATGTGGATCTAGAATTAGGAAGTCTTGTGCACAGCAAAAACATTTTCTTTTTTCTGCAGCATCTCAGTTAAGAGTTAACCATCATCAGTATTCAAGTTTTCATTATTTGCCAAGTAATGTTCTAGGGTCTTTCCAAGTCTTAGTTAATCCTCTCACATCTTTGCCAAGTAAAAACTCTCTCATTGCTGTCCAATAGACATCACTTCATAGCTGACCCTCCAGTGGGATTTTGGAGGCTGTAAATCACCCCCGAGATTGATTGTCCACCTTCCTTCTGAGGATCCTCTGGGGTATTCGAACCACTAGAGAGGTGTGGACTTAGGGTTGGAACCCAGCTCCCTTTGAACGGTAATTAACTTCATTTTCATAGATGAACAAACTGAGCCTCTGAGAAATGAACCCTTTTGCTGCACAGCAAGTAAGAGAGAGTACTGGAATTTGAACCCAAGACTCTGCATCTGGTGCCAAAGCCCTTGTTGAGTTCTACCTTTCTGTATGGCATTTCTGTGAGTCTATGGCCACATATATGTAAGCATATTTCTTTCTTTTTATCCACAGCTCCATACTGCAATGATTTGATGAAGAATTTGGAGTCTAGCCCTCTTTCCCGCATTATCTGGAAAGCTCTTAAGCCTCTGCTTGTAGGGAAGATCCTGTATACACCTGACACTCCAGTCACCAGGGAGGTTATGGCTGAGGTATGATGCGTGGACCAAATAGTCCTTTGTTAGGGCAGGAATTAGGGCCAAAACACCAAAGGTGGCTTCCGAGTAAATACACTGGGCATACTCACAGCTCCTCTGGAGTTGTCAAAAGGTGAAAATGTTGAGCCTGATCCATTTCTGAGTTTCTATTGAAGACCAGCTCCCCTAACTGGGGCATTTGAATCATAGTTGCTGGCAAGCAGTTCTCCATGATGGAGGAACATTAGCAGATTTTCTGTGATGGGGTATCTTTTGAGGAAATAGCAACTTACTCGTTGTCTCTGCCTCTCTGTCCTTTCTCTATGTCCCCTGCTCCTCACCTGACTCCAGGTGAACAAGACCTTCCAGGAACTGGCTGTGTTCCATGATCTAGAAGGCATGTGGGAAGAGCTCAGCCCCAAAATCAGAACCTTCATGGAGAGCAGCCAAGAAATGGACCTTGTCCGGGTGAGTGTGTCCCTCTCAATGCTGTGTGCTTGCTGAGTGCTGAGTGGGTGGGTGTCCCGTCCTTCCACACGAGTGAAGAGATTTCTTGAGGTGTAGTCTGTGTGGGTGAATTGAGCCCAGGGTATAACTCAAGCCGCATGGCTGCCACTTCCTCACAGATCCAAGTCATGGTGCCTAAGGTGTGTTTCATGAACACTAGCAACAAGGCAAGGCCTCTGTGCACTCATAGCTCTTTTTTAAGAAAATTAGGGCTCGTGTTTGAAACAAAGGTTTGCTTGTTGTAGGGTGCTGTTTATACTTTTACTTCTGTCTCTAACCCTTGAAAGATCCATTGGATTTACTCAGAGTCCTTGTATCTCAGTAGGTCTTGGAAAGAGATTAGGAACAAATGCGTGATTTTGTGTTTGGCCTGGTCTGAGATACCTATTCCCAAAGGCATCATGCAAACAGAAGAGCAGCCCTTACTGAGTAGAGGCTGGGCTCTATCCATGGAAAAATAGCTTCTGTGGCCAGCTCTGAAATTGCACCCTTGCCTAAAACATATGATACCCATTTTTTAAGGTAATTTCACCATAATACCAGCTTAAAAAAAGATAAAATTGGCCTGGGCTGTGCGCACCATCATTTTTTTGTTCCCGCCCCCCCCCCCCCCCCCCCCTTCCTGGACTCAGCAGAACAAGATCACGTGTCTGCTTGGGTCCACAGAGGCCCTTCAATACAAACAATGTAGTTTTAACTTGCTGAATGATGTCTTACAGCTGGTCGTGGACATGGCAGTGCTTAATAGAAGCTGCTCAGTGGCGCCCTCTTCAAGTGCTGGGTGCCTCGGGCACGTGCCAGACCCGCTGTCTCCTAGCTACAGCGCGGAGCTGAGGGAATTGACACTCTGCGCTTTCCTGCCACTGGGAAGGGATAAGTGCTCTAGAAACAAATGGATTCACGCGGAGGAGTCTGAGCAAGCACAGACTGTCTCCGTTACTTGAGCCCGAGTGCTGTTTAATCACATCATCCCTGCCTTGGGCTGAGTCAGAGAGTCATCAGATGATTTTCTGTCTCCATGGAGAGGGAAGTCTCTTCCTTTTGTCTCTGCTGCCTTGAAGGTGGAAGAGAGAATGTGACTAGATTGTTTTTTAAAAATATTTGGCACCTCTTTGATCTGAGAGATAAGTGAGTTTGAGAGCGGTCTATACCTCGTTGGTAGAACTCCTGAGATTTAGAACTGTTTCCTGGTCCCATGGGGGAGAGGTTAGGGATAAACAAGGTTCTGGTAATGGAGAAGCATGAGCCCTGTGACATGCATGTTGTTGTTGTGTAACATCGTGCCGGAACTGACACATACATGACGCTCCAGCGGATTTTCAGAGGCCGTTAATCACACAGGAGGAGACTGCCCATCCTTCTCCTGTGGAGCAGCTGGTGGATTTGAACCACGTGCCTTTGAGTTGGCAGTATGACTCTTTCCCACTAAGCTACCAGAAGTTGGTGCCTTTCAAGATAAAGAACTCTAGTGAGACAAATATGAACAAGCATTTTTATGGAATTACTAAATAATTACTGAATATGACAATCACTTGGCCTTCAGGTGTCAACCTTTGCTGCACTCCAGTTCCTTCTTTCCTAAGAGAGTGACGTGATCCATCACCAGTGTTATTACCTTGACGTGGTCTTGGGCTTCTTTATGGTTCCCTCTCTGGAATCCATAGTCACAATATTTGGATGTTTTTGTCTTTGTCTGGGACTTACAGGATGACAGGGGTCTCTGGATTATTGGTCTGTGGGCCATAGTTTCCTTGCTCTTCGGCTGGGAGTTTGTTTTGGACATTCCTCATTGCTTGTAGTTCTGTGTTCTTATGGGAAAGGCTCTTGAAAAGCCAGCACGGGCTTTCAATAGAAATCCTGCTGGAAAACCCAGGGCGAGGAGATGTAGGCATTGTGGTCAGAGAGAGAATCAGGTGTTCTAGAGGGTCTTACATATGATGCTAAGGACATTGTTTTCTTTAAGTTGTGAGGACCCAATGGAAGAGTTTTAAGCCTGGGAAATGGAAATGCTTTACTCTGATGTGAGGGTGACTTGAAGAGGGAAAAGATGGAAAACAGATTAAGAGGGAGTCTACTCAAGTGATTGATGGAGGCTCCTGAGCCGGGGCACTGGCCAAGGCATCAGGGAGGAGGTGAAGTTTGGTGATTGCTTGGTGTAGAGGATGCAAGAGAGCGACATCTACGATGATTTTGGATATCTGGTGGGTGGATGATGGGAATAACCAGTCGATCAGTAGATAGAAGGGTCTGCATGAGGAAGGATGGTCAGACTGGAGACCCAGATTCTGGTGCAGAGCCACTGTCCTCCAGCTTCCTCCTCATTCTTGTTGAGTTCCACAGGCTGTGCTTCTCTGTGCTTCTCTGTCCTTGACAATCCTTGTGTCTTGGTTTCTGGTACTGGAGGTGATTTCTGGAGTTACTCTTCTCTCTGTGCTGTGTCTAGCTCTGACTCTTACTGTGTCACTCTACAGATTGGGACACTTTCCTCTCTAGTCAGTCAGTCTACCTGCTTTCTTTTCTGCACAGTTCTGGGATCCTCATCTCAAGGGCATGTTTTCTCCATAGCTGTCACCCCCATGGGTGGCCTCAGGGCTTCTGGCCTCTCAGACACCATGTGTAGAAAGACTGCAGGGCCATTGATTTCTCTGGCATTGCCCTCCTCGTTGGCCATATTACTCAGATATTGCATTAGGCAAAATAGGCCTCACTCCACTTGTCACATCTCTTCACTTAGCTCTTCCTTGTTCACTCACAGTATACAGAGTAATGTCAAAATTGTTAACTCATACCTCCATGAGAAAAGCTTTATAAAGTACAATTTTATAGCTACTATGTTAACAAAAATAATCTGTCTTTATTAATGACAGTGTTAATTGTTGCTTTTTATTGAAAGACAATTTGCAATAGAAATTTCGAGAACCATTAAAATCATGCTATCCTATCTACCTCTGTTTCATATACCCCCAGGGATGGGTCCTTCAGAAATCATTATATATGAATGAGATGTTATGGCTGTAATAATTGTTATTGTGAAAAATTGCACATAACATAAACGCTCAGTAGTATGAGAATAGTTAATGAAATTGTAGTATATATGCTCTATAAAATCATTATGTTGCCATTAAGATAATAAATTCAAAAGCCGCATGGGGAAAAATACTAGTGAGGTTTGTGAAAATTTAGCTTATGTGGGTATTTTTAAGATTTTAATTGGAGAGAGAGTCAAGATTTGTGATCCGTCTTGAAGCAGGAGCTGTGGCTTTCCCATGTACTGAGCTAAATGGGAAGTTACCTTGTTTGTTTTCTGCCCCAACCAGTCTGGATGTGTTGGATAGGCACCAGGCTGATGTAGCTTTCTCATCCTCATTGGTCCATCATGGAACTAAATTGCTAGGTAATAAGAAATGTGGATTATGTCTCCTTTGTATCATGACTGAGGTGTCTGACAATTGGGAAAGTATATTTTTAACATAATTAGTTAAGTAACAGAATTCTTTTCCTAAACTACACAGTGAAAGTGAGTTTACCACTTTAGTGCAGAGCTAACAACATCAGACTTGTTCTCTAAAAACAGAAGCAGTACGTGTATTGGGGAGGTACACCGGATTCAGAGAGTCTCTGCTTCATAGGCGGTGCTGCTGTTCACTGGCCGAGTGACCTTACGTTAGAGATGTAACTTCTCTGACATTTCCCATCTATAAAATGGGAAATAAGAAAAGTACTTTCCTGGTAGAGCTGTGTGAAAGATGAGATAAGACAGGAAAACCACTAAAGACAGTAATTGTAAGAGATTAAATATTATTGGATTTTGTTGTCAATACTGATAGACTCATCTATTTAGGTATAGTGGAAACTATGAGGACTCTGACCAGATTTCTCTGGTTTTGAGTCCCATGTCCACAACTTTTACCACCCTTGGTAAAATATTACTTTATTTTTTCATTCATTTGTCTTGTGACTTGTAAAGTAGGGACACTGGTGTCTACCTCACAGTATTCTGTGAAGATCAGAGATAGCGTGTGTGAAAGGGTTTTATAAATTATAAAAGCTTCATCAAGACTTAGTTGGCAGTAGCTAATGTACTCTTTCTCTCCCTGGAATAACAGACAATGTTAGACAGCAGAAGCAATGATCACTTCTGGGAAGAGCGATTAAAAGGTGTAGGCTGGACAGCCCAGGACATTGTGGCATTTCTGGCCAAGCACCCTGAGGATGTCCTCTTGGGGAACGGCTCAGTGTACACCTGGAGAGAGGCTTTCAATGAGACCAACCAAGCCATTCAGACCATAGCTCGCTTCATGGAGGTAAGCATCTGTTTTGTGAATCATTTGAAGAGATAGATGGCCTCTTTCTCGATGAGGCTGCAGTAAAGTTCAGGCAGGAGGAAAGTATAGAAATAATTTATAGTCTGATTTTACAGTTGTATCCATCCGGTTTGATGTATAAAATATACTCAAGAAATATTAGTTAAATGATTGAATGAATAAATATAAGACACCTAGGCTGCCTGGCTTTATTCTGTCTTTAACTCATGGACCTTTTTAGTCATTTGTCTTTTAAATTTCCAGGATGGCCTAAAAATGCTTCCTGGGTTTTGATGTCCTGATGTTTATTGGCTCCCAAGCATTCCCTTAAAAAGGCATTATTTATGAAGCATACTTAATAGCTAACACAGCACAGAGTACATTTTTAAAATTTAGTTCAAAAAATTATTATGTCACCTAGTAGGAATACATTTTTTTCCTATTTGGTTAGGCTTTTGTTGTTTTTATTTCCCCTCCTTAGTTTCTATGACTCAATTGCTTAGAAAAAGTGGAAAATGAGAAATGATCTTTGTTTCAGTTTCTTCTCTCCATAAAAAAAATCAATACATATAACTTCTTTATAAATATTTACAGCATTTTCTTTATGTGCAGTGAAAAACCAAAATGATCCATTTCTCAGTTGAATGTTGGAATACTGTTTTAGACCAGTATCTGGATAATGGAGGATTACAATGAAAAATGAGTGAGAAGGGGGAAAAAGAATCAGATAGTCTTCATTCTCTCGTAAGATGGGTCTGTTGTGGCTGCTGCTGGTTTCTTGGCTCTTCTCATGAAGACTGTTTTTCCATCAGTGTGTCAATTTGAACAAATTGGAACCAATAGCAACAGAAGTCCGCCTCATCAACAAGTCCATGGAGCTTCTGGATGAAAGGAAATTCTGGGCTGGGATTGTGTTCACTGGAATTGCCCCCAACAGCGTTGAGCTGCCCCATCATGTCAAGTACAAAATACGAATGGACATTGACAATGTGGAGAGGACCAATAAAATCAAGGATGGGTAAGCTGAATCCTGTGACCGCAGTCCAGTCTCTGGGATGTCAAGAGTTATGATGATAGTTATGTGCTGTCAAGTTGGAACCAAGTCATAGCTGACTCTCCAGAGGGTTTCCAGAAGCAGTAACTCACCCAAGATTTACTGCTACTTTCTCTCTGTGCCTGGTAGATTCTAGCTTGCCTGCCTTTGTGTTACAGTGCACCTCTTAACCACCAGGCCAAATCAAGAGAAAGATGAATTGGTGACATGGCTGCAATGAAGCTGGTGCCACATGCTGGAAGCTATTAGTATTTCAGAGATCATCTCAGTGTCTCGTGGCTCAATATTTTCTTTTATGGGAATTATGCAAAAGAATTAAGTCTTAATAGGGAAACCAAAAGTCTTCAGGTTCCCCTTGTTAGCTTTATACATTTTTATAAAAAGGAGGAAATAACCAATACGAAAGAAAGGGCTAGACTATTTTTAATGTTTTCACTTGATGTGTCGTTAGGCAGCAGATGGGAAGGACATATCCAGAAAATACGCTATTAATTTTGATTGTCCGTGTTTAAAAATGTGCATATGTCTACTGAGATGAGAAAGTAAAATTCAAAAATAAACATAGTGACTGTGTAAGTGTTAGGACTGCAGGTGGTTGGTTAAGTGTGTTTATTGTGTAATTTGAAAAAAAATATTTGACCACCTGTGGCTTGGTTTCAGGTACTGGGACCCAGGTCCTCGGGCTGATCCCTTTGAGGACATGCGCTATGTCTGGGGAGGCTTCACCTACTTGCAGGACGTGGTGGAACAGGCTATAATCAGGGTGTTGACGGGAACCGAGAGGAAAACTGGTGTTTACATGCAGCAGATGCCCTACCCCTGTTATGTCGATGACATGTAAGTTCCCGGGAGCTCCCACCTTCAACCAGTTATCCTGTCCTGGGTGGAAGGAGGGGAGGGTGAAACAGAAGACAGAAATGCCAACGGAGGATATGAGAGCACTTTCATTTTAGTGTGTGTGTGTGTGAGTGAAAAATGGTTTTTGAAGTCCTGTGAACATTTTGGTGAGTGAAATGACCAACGTGAGTCATCAATGTTCAGCCACGTCGCAGAAACAGGTGCACATACTAGTGAGCCTTCCTTTTTTCTCCTTCCACATTTACCATGACTTTTGTTGTTCACATTCTACTTTTTTTGGCTCCCAGATTTGCTCAGCTTTCAAGTGTAAACTGTCCTATGACAAGTGCAAGCTAGCATCTCACTTGTACACACAAAACAGAAACAACTGTCTGGAGTTGTAGAGCTGATGGTGTGTCATTTTGTTTACTTTCTCTCTTCATGTCTTGAACTGAATTGTCAGATAATCCAAAGAAAACGGAACAGAATCTCTTTAGCTCGAACTTTGTGGATACCATGTTGAGGTGTGCCAGTTACCCAGGGGCTGCACGTCTTGGCCGTGCAGATCCACCAGCTGTTTCCAGGAGAAAGATGGGCTCTCCTCCCGTTATGATTTACAGCTTTGGAAACATCATTGAGGGTTGCTGTGAGCTGGAATGGACTCAATGGCAGTGCATTTGAGTTGAGTTTTTATAGGGAGTTCTGGTGGCCTAGTGGTAAGAAGCTGTGCTGCAGTCCCAAAGGTTTGCAGTTCGAGGTCACCAGCTGCTCTGCGGGAGAAGGATGGACAGTCTCTTCCTGTGGGATTAACTGCCTCTGAAAACCCACTGGAGGGTCAGCTATGGGTTGGTCCTGACTTGACAGTACACAACAACAAGTATTGAAAAATTTATCAGGAACTGCTAAGAGAACAAACAGATACATCCTGGAGAGGGTAAAATCAGGCTACTCCTTGGAGGCAATGATTTTGAAGCTCAGTCTGACATATTTTGAGCATGTTGTAAGGAGGGACCAGTCCTTGGAGAGGGACATCATGCTTGGAAAGGTGGAGGGACAATGCAAGAGAGGAAGACCCTGGGTGAGATGGACTGATTGAATGACTGGGGTAATGGACGTAGGTGTGTCAGAGATGATAAGATTGGCTCGGGATAGAGCAGGGTTCAGAGCTGCTATACATAGGATCGCTGAGTTGGAGTCGACTTGCTGGCACACAACAGCAGTGCCTGTTCACAAAACTGCAAAGTGCTCAATGGGGGAACTGCGTCTTTGAAGCTAATGATTTCTTGTAAGAGACAATGAGCAGAGGTCTATTTTTTAACACAAGCATCTGAACTGTTTACACACTCTTACTCTGCTTCCTGCCGTTCTTTAGGACATAGTTTCTCTTCTTCATTTTAAATTTAATTTAAAAAATTGATTTCTTGTGATAAAACTGTGTAACTCCACAGGTGCCAGTTGAACATGTGTTGTTTCCCCCCACATGCACCGTTTAGTGTTAGCTGCTCTCACCATGTTTGGCCTGTGCTGCTTTCTCTGGTGTGCAGGCTCCGAGACCTCCGCCTATGGCGCCTGACTTGTGCTTGTCTTTCATGCTCCCTGCCGTCCGCCCTGGGACCTGCAGCTTCCTGCGGGTGATGAGCCGGTCCATGCCCCTCTTCATGACGCTGGCCTGGATCTACTCTGTGGCTGTGATCATCAAGGGTATCGTCTATGAGAAGGAAGCCCGACTCAAGGAGACCATGCGGATAATGGGTCTGGACAACTGCACGCTCTGGCTCAGCTGGTTTATCAGCAGTCTCATCCCTCTGCTCGTGAGTGCCAGCCTGCTGGTGGTCATCCTGAAGGTAAGGTGCCCACGCCCCGTCCCCTGCCAAGCACCTCCTGAAGGGCCCAGGAGGGGCAGAGTGAAGAGAAGACTTTAGGAGAAGGAAGTAGCCAGGCTGTTTCTCTAGTTTAATGCCTTCATTTTATAGCAGGGGATGGTGAGCGCTTAAAGGGCACAGTGACTTGCCCATGTTAGCCAGTGGGTTAGGAACCCAGCAGGACGAGCACTGAGGCATCTTATTTCTAAGGAAGCACACTTTTCATACCATGCTGTCTGACTGGCTGTACTTCGTGACAGCTTCTGAGAGCTATTCATTTCCTGAGATGTATTGAATGGCAGTCTTTCCTGACAACTACAACATCTCTACCCAGAGGTTATATGTTATTGTAAGTTATGTTCTCTGGAAGCAGAGACCAAGACTGAATTTGGGGTATAGGTAGTTGTTAGTAATCAACACCCGTGGAAGGAAGCGGGCATGGGCAGAGGGAGAGGTGGTCTCTCATTGACCTGAGATAGCTGTTGTTATGCTCCTCTACCAGGCTCTCCTCCCAGACTCTCCCTACCCACCCTTCTCCATCAATCCTGGATGTGGGCTGCCCTGGGAAGGATGGGTCTCAGTGCCTAATGATTCCTTGTGCCTGTGACAAATCATAGGGGCTAATACGTGAGCAACAGTTCTTATCCGAAGGAGAATCTGTAATGTTTTTCTGTGTCTCCGTCATACTGTAATATCCTTAGATATTTATTGTATTTCTCCAGATAATTTCATTCAATGTGATACATCATAAAAAACAAAGTTTCTTGAAGAGTAGAAAATGCAAAGGGGTAGAAATGAACATTTGATTTAATACTAGCTATAGCTGTTATGAATGGGCACTTGGTAATTGCTAAGCCCTGTTGAAAGCACCTCATTTAAGCACTTAGTCACAGTCACATAAGTAAAAACTTGTAGAACCAAGATTTGAAGGGAGGTCTTGTTAAAACCAAATACATGCCATGCTCTTATATCTAACTGTAAGAGGTCAAGGTTTTTGGTGGGTAAGTCATATGACTAGTATATATAAGAGCTGTATTGGAACAACTGTCCTGGAAGGCCTCTCTCAAAAGACGCAAGAGTAATACAGAGTCCTCGGCAGGTTACCCAAGGGAAAATTAACATTGTTCAGTCTTTGGCTTTTTGGAGACTTCACAGGAGACACCATCTTCCACAAGTCACTCTTGGTGGCAGAATGCTAGTCCGTATAAAAGGAGAAAGAAAACAGATTTGTTCATTGAGGTGGGGACATATCCAGCCCTGGCCTCTCTTCTGTCCCTGACTCCACCATTAATGTTACTGTGTGATCCTGAGCAAGACTTTTCCTGTTTTGGGGCTCAGTTTCCTCATGAACAGCACTGCTCATCTACATTATGTTTATTGTTATGTACCATCGAGTTGCTTGTGACTCATAGTGACCCTATGTATAATAGCCCTCAACCCTGTTCTACCCTGAACCAATCTGATTGTGACCTCAGCAACTGAATCATTCCATCTCATTGAGGGTCTTCCTCTCCAGCACTGTCCCTCCAGCCCCCCAAGCATGACATCCTGTCTAAGGACTGGTTCCTCCTTGCAGTATGTCCAGAGTATATCAGATGAAGTTTCAGAATCCTTGCCTCCAAGGAGCATTCTGATTTTACACTCTCCAGGATTAACCAGTTTGTTCTCCAGCAGTCCATGGTATATTCAACACTCTTCTCCAGCACCACACATAGCTCAAAGACATCAATTCTCTTTGTATCATCCGTAGTCATTGTCCAGGTTTCTGAAGCATGGTAAATAATTATGAAGATCATTACCTGGATAAGGCACATCTTAGTCTCCAGACTGACATCATTGCTCTTCAGTAGACTTGTGAGGTCCCTGGCGGCAGACTTTCCCAGTGCAATTAGTCTTTTGATTTCCTGGCTGCTGTTAGGGTGATATGAAAAAACACTAATTTTTTTTTTACCCTCCCTGTAGATTAGAAGAGAGTGTATTTGGGCTTACAGAGGCAGCCAGTTGATGGGTGTTTTCCTTCCCAGTTAGGAAACCTGCTGCCCTATAGCGACCCCAGCGTGGTGTTCATCTTCCTGTCTGTGTTTGCCGTGGTGACCATCCTACAGTGCTTTCTGCTCAGCACGTTCTTCTCCAGAACCAACCTGGCGGCAGCCTGTGGAGGCATCATCTACTTCATGCTGTACCTTCCCTACGTCCTGTGCGTAGCCTGGCAGGACTACGTGGGCTTCTCCCTCAAGATCTTTGCAGTGAGTAACCCTCGCCCATGCACAGTAGCACCCCAGGTGTTCGACCTCCCCTCTGTATTCTGTGAATAGAAGCGGCCAAGTGGAGAAAGAAAGAGGAAGTCCCAGTGGGATTTGAATGTCAGTTCTAGATTCTAAGCTCCTTCAAGACAAAAGCACCTCATGTTAAATTACTCATCTCTTGTGCTTACAGTGGATGGTGCTTGAATGGAAAGAATTTTTTCCGAGAACCACAGTGCACCATGAGCCTGGCTGTGGATAAGGGCATTAGGAAAGTGTAAAAGAGTGGGTTTAGGCTATAGGTACCGTTCTGCCACATATCTCCCTGTTCTGTTGACTGTGTTAGCATTCCAGAAAAGCTTGGTCTTGGACTGAAAGCTCTTGGGGTCAGGGATGGTTGGCTCTTTTTGTCTTCTTGGTGTTTCACTTGAGTATTATTTTTTGAACTGATTAATAAGAGTGAGGTGCAGGTGCCCAGGCTCCCCACAAATCCCTAACCTAGATACTTCTTCCTTTGTATGTTGGCGGAGAGGCACTTAATAGGGGACATGCTCTCATAAGAGCTAGCTGTTCCTGGGTCACTTGGAAGAAAACGGAGAGTCAGTACTAGGGGCCTCTGTCTGGGTGCCTTTGTATCAGCAGCCTCTCTGACACTTAGTTTTCTCCAGCTGAGCAGGGAGCCTGAGGGGATCTGGATGGATGTGCCTGTCTGTGCATGAGCACGTGCTTACACAGGGTGCAGGATTGCTAAGCCTTTGGGCCATCAGTGGGAGCAAGAAATTCCAAAAATACTATACTCCATCATGGATGTATTTCTGAAATAAGTGTGTCTCACGAGTGGTTATAAATAGAAGTAGTTTATATGCTACAAGGGAACCCATTCCCTGACAAGGACCCTATAGAGGAATACTCGCACCTCCCTTGAGTGATCCTTTTTGTAAGTTCAGCTTTCCTCAAGTGTATAGGATGCCTCCCGGTACCAGGTTTGCATTAGAAGTGATAGAAAAATGAGAGGGACAAGGAGATGGATGAGCTGCCTTTGCCTCCTTCCCGCAGAGCCTGCTGTCTCCCGTGGCGTTCGGGTTTGGCTGCGAGTACTTTGCCCTTTTTGAGGAGCAGGGCATTGGTGTGCAGTGGGGCACCCTGTTTGAGAGCCCTGTGGAGGGAGATGGCTTCAACCTCACTACCTCAGTTTCTATCATGCTGTTTGATGCCTTCCTCTATGGGGTGATGACGTGGTACATCGAATCGGTCTTCCCAGGTACTTTGGGCTTCCCCAGGGGTTTGGCCATCTCTGGGGGAAATGGGATTTCTGGCTCAGTTCTTTCCTCCCTCTGTGCTGGATTTTCGGTAGACTCTGTGCTCCTTGGGAAGTGGCCAAGGGCTCAATTTCCACACCAAACAGAGCAAAGAGGAGAGGGCGGCTGATGCTGAAAAGACCTAGGTAGCGTAGCTACGACCGAGAATAAAGCAATAATCTTTTTGAGGACTGTATCCTGGCCACTGCATGAAGCATCTCATATATTTTAGTAAACTTAATCTCAAGAATAGTCTTGGTAAATAATCATCTAGCTCGATACAGGTCAAATCTGCCATGAATAAATATTCATGTAAGGTCAAAACTTGCGAGAGTGAAGTTCACACTCTTGACTTTCCTCTAAGGAAGTGAACATGAAATGTTAATTATTCCTTCTTCAACTTCCGGCAATGAGCATGCCATCCAGCATCATACAAACCTGGATTCACATTCTTCACCTAAAGACAAAGTGCCCTTAACAAGTTACTTATCCTTTAAGATAAGTTACTGTCTCCTGTGGTTTTCGGGTTTGGCTGCTTTAAAATGCTGTTAATATTTGCCTCATAGACTTTCTGGGAGGATCAAGTGAGGTGTAGAATGTACCTCATCAGTGTCAGCCAGTGTTAGCTCCACTCACAAAACGTCCTTACCCATCTCTCCTGTCTCTGAAGGACTCAGGGTTTGCCTGGAAGGACTGAATCTCACTAGGCTATCTCCGGGATACCAAGATGCTTCAGAACTTATCTTAGCACCTGTGCTTTTATTTTTAGGCCAGTATGGAATTCCCAGGCCCTGGTATTTTCCTTTTACTAAATCCTATTGGTTTGGTGAAGAAAGTGAGGAGAAGAGCCATCCTGGTTCCAGCCAGAAGGGAATGTCGGAAGGTAAGTGCTACTGGTCCACCTTCCATAACCATCGTGCTACTGCCCTTACTGACCAGCAGGAGGTAGTGCAGCCTCCTGCCCTTGAGAGGTCTCCAGGCGCTTTAGGACAGAGAACCCATGTGCAGTGAGTGCCCTTATGCCCTCATTTCTCCCGTCCTGTTTGAGTTCAGTGCTGTTGACTTATCAGAATCACTGTGTCTGTGAGGGACTTTTCCATTGTTTGCTTGGCTTCTGGGAAGGTGGGCTTTGATCACTCTCTATCATCTCCTCCGCCTCTGCCGTTCCACAGATTTCTGATGCGATCAAGACTAGCTATAAGGAAGACCTAAACCCCACCCTATTTGTGGAACCATAACATCACCGTCTCCCTTTCTGTCATGAGGCACATAGATGCGATTCGGTGCTGGCTGACCTCAGGGCTCCCACCAAGCCTGGCCTTTGCTGCTAGTTGCATCACCCTTCATTACCCAGAGTCTGTGACTGGAGGAGATGCAGGGAAGGCTCTGCCTCGTGCCTGCTTGTTTGCTCAGCTTCTTGGAGGGAAACTCTGCCTTTGTGTGCTCAGTGAGGATTCCCACGTAATTTCTAAGTCTCTCTCTTGACCTCTTCTGTGCCCTTTCCTCAGCTGCCAGTGCTAGGAGTACCATGTTTCCCAGCCTGACACACTGGGTTCTGTACGGTGTGCCCTTGCTCGCTGTTCCACCTGCTTTCCCTGTTGCCCGTTACTCTTCATCCCCTGCCTCCTCTTGTCACGTGGCTTCTGTTCAGTGACCCAGAATTGCTCAAGGCTCTTGGAATATGTCTTGTGCATCTACGCCTCTGTGTCTCTGTATGCATTGTTGTTCCCTCTGCCGGAAGTGCTTTGTCTGTGTTACCCACTGCTGAATCCCTGCTCATTCAGATGTTCCCTGGCTTGAGCAGATCACTCCTTTACTGGAGATTCAATATAAACTTTTTATTTTAAAATAGTAATGTATCTCTTGGGGGAAGAAGCAGAAACGTCGTAGTGAGTTGGTGGCTTTTTAGAACATTTGTCTGCTTTCCTCTAGTGGTTGCATCTTATGTAACTATAGTATCAATGCATTTACAATGTCAGCACATGGAATTCACCTTGGTACAATTCAGTCTTTCTTCACGTTTCACCAGTTTTAATGTTGACTCATTGGTGTGTGCATATTTCTATAATTTCATTGTTTTAAAATGGTACCCAAATGGATATTGTGTGCAAAATGGTATATAGTATCTACCTTCTGAGAGAGGCTTTTTTCACTCAACATCATTTCTTTGAGATATGTCCTAGTTGTGTGCATCAGTAGTTTGTTGCTCTGTAGTATTCCATGGCATGGGTATACCACAGTTTTATGGAATGTTTTGCTTTTTAAAATTTCAAACCACTTTTAGCATCCTGTATATTAGCCTCCTGTCAAGTGTTTGCCATCCAGTACACTCTGGGTGCTTTACGGGCTGAGGTTGTATCTCTTTTTTTCATTGTATTCCCATCACCAGCACTGTTGTTGCTGTTGTTAAGTGTCATTGAGTTGAGCATGACTCATAGCGACTCTTTGAACCTCACCCTATCCTGTGCCACCCTCACGCACTATCTAACATGTTTGACAAAAATAAATCTTGTAGCCTGCCTGCCGGTGAGGCTTACAGTGGCCACAGAGAACAAGCAGACAAGTTCACAAGGTGAACTACAGTCATCTGTGTCTTTACCGTCTACTCGTCAGTGTTCTCTGTGGTTTCATTCTTTTCTCCTCCCTTTTCACAGTCTGCATGGAGGAGGAGCCCACTCACCTGAAGCTGGGTGTGTCCATTCAGAACCTGGTGAAGGTTTACCGAGATGGTATGAAGGTGGCAGTCGATGGCCTGGCACTGAATTTTTATGAGGGCCAGATTACCTCCTTCCTGGGCCACAATGGAGCAGGGAAGACCACGACCATGTAAGAAGATGGTGTGACCCTCACAGAATTTACCAGGGGAACAATCCGTGGAATAGTTAGAAGTTCACACCGTAGGAAATCGTGTTGTCACCAGACATGGGAGAGACCAGATAGGAGATGCTGAGTGTCACTGTATTATCTAAAATAACCAACATGTTTGCCTGATTGTTTTTCTAAATACTTCTTCCGCATAAAACGGGCTTTGCACCTTTTGGTGACCTTTCCCATGTAGTTCTCAGCATTACCCTGTGTGTGTGTTCACGAGAATCGAGACCATGACAACTCGGAGATGAGGGATCTCCTTGTGAGCTAGTGTAGTCAGAGTAGTAGTGACACGAGAATCTGGGAAAAGTAGACATGTTGGAGGGAGCCCCCAGTGTGTTGGAGGGAGCTGTGATTTCCAGGAACTCTGTTCTAAGCAGATATGAGAAACAGCTGGAAGCTTGCTTCAGTTCCTCTCTGTGGGACCCAGAGGACCTTCTAGTGTGCAGCTTCAGAAGTAGGGAGGGCTATAAAACACCCCAGTTCACCTCACTGGCTTTCATGTAGTCCCTCAGCCATTCCAGAGGGTGTGTTTCGGGTGCCATCTACGTCTTTTCTTTAATATTTTTCCCCCCACTTTAAATGTGGCATCACTATAGCTGGAACATTACAGGAAAATGTAAAAAGACACTCAGAAATCCTTCTACCTACCACAGGAACTTAAGTTTTAATCTTTGAAGGGTTAGATGGCCCATTGTTTTTTCTTTGACGACTTTAGGCATACCAAATGGGTGTAGTAAAGTGCACTTTAGGTTGTAATTTAGAATCTTCATTTAAAAAATGTTCCCATTCAAGTGACCATTTGCAACACACAGGGCTAATCATATTCCCCCCCAGAGGCCAGTAGGGTTCATTGCGAAGCAGGGGAGGGTGGGAGAGTTGGCCGCTGACTCCGTGGCCGGAATGGACCTTCGGGAGGGAAGGAGGGCACAGCCCTGACTCCTGTGCTTTTCCGTTTTGTCCTCAGGTCCATCCTGACTGGGCTTTTCCCTCCCACCTCGGGCACCGCCTACATCCTGGGGAAGGACATTCGCTCGGAGATGAATACCATCCGGCAGAACCTGGGTGTCTGCCCCCAGCACAATGTGCTGTTTGACATGTGAGTGACGCCACCGATCTGAGAGGAGCGCACCCGCAGAGGATGTGTGTGTTGTACTTAGGGGGTGAGGGGCACACTCAGACTGTCCACTCGGGCACTTCAGCAACAGTAGGAGGTGGATAGTTGGTGTGAGATGCTGCATCAGTCCAGGCACTGGATTGAGGTGGAGCAATGGCGACCTCCAGTATTGTGATCCTGGCCTTTGATGCATCCTTTGCCCCCTCTTGTGCCCTCCCTGATGCCATGTGAAACCCTAACATCCAGGCAGCACTCAGGCCTTCCAGTGGATGACCTGTTCAAGGCATTCGCTCTTGCTTAGACTGCTCATTCATCACGTAGAGCCCTCGGAGCCGGTAGGGTTGAGCAGAGAAAGGCTTGAGCTCAGGAGTTTTGGACAAAGGCGTAGGGACAGAGACTGATCTGCCCACCAGCTCATATGTACCAAGTCAGGTCCTCTTCCTGGAATACCACCATGATGGGGGAGGCCACTGTATGTCTGTCCCAAGCCAGTTTCCCTCTGGCTCGTGCTCATGGACTTTCTTCACTTACAGAGGTGTAGCTTCTGTAGGCCTCAGGTTCATGCTGAAGTGACTTCTCTGTTGGTGAGGCTCCTTGGGCCCCTTTGATTGCTACCTTTTGGGGACCTGGAATTTAAAGCGATAGCTGTCCCACACACGGTGGTCTGACTTTGTTTGAATTAGACTCGATGTGACCTGTCACATTTCAGCTGACAGCACGTGCTTGTGCTAGAGTGTTACTCCAGCTTGAATCCTTCTTTTGGATTCATTTTTATGAAGTTGATGTTCTTTACAAAAAAACATGTTTGCTTTCTCTCAGTCTGAGCCAGAAGGCACTGTATTGTGTGACATCCTGCAGAGGACACTGGCCCTAAGCCGGCTGCCCCTCTCTCCCCCAGGCTGACGGTGGAGGAGCACTTCTGGTTCTACGCCCGCCTGAAAGGGCTCTCCGAGAAGCACGTGAAAGCAGACATGGAGCAGATGGCTGTGGATGTCGGGCTGCCACCCAGCAAGCTGAAGAGCAAAACAAGTCAGCTGTCAGGTGAGGCCAGAGCTGCCTTCCTGCTGCCCTGAGTGCCCCTCCCCGCCCCACGATCAATCAGAGGAAGATGGCAGCGGTTCCAGGTTCCCCACTGGGTGAAAGCCGGGTTCCTGTGACTCCAGTTATGTGCCTCCCTTTGCCTCTCATTGTCTCTGCCTTCAAGGAGCTCTGCAAGTATCATGTATTACGTGTTGAGAGTCCAAGCCTACCAGCTATTCCTCGGGAGGAAAATAGGAAGTTGCTTATAATGATTTACAGCCTTGGGAGGGCTGTGGTGGGGTGCCCTGAGTTGGAATTGACTTGATGGCAGTAGCTGCTGTGCTGTGTGTTATTTTATTTAGCCATCATTATCCATTTACTTGGGGCTGAGCCCTGGAAGCTATCTCTTGCTGTTTGTAGGTGGAATGCAGAGAAAATTGTCTGTGGCCTTAGCCTTTGTGGGAGGATCCAAAGTCGTCATTCTGGACGAGCCAACAGCTGGTGTGGACCCTTACTCCCGCAGAGGGATATGGGAACTGCTGCTGAAATACCGACAAGGTAATTGATATGTATGTACTTTCTAGTGGCTTAGTTCATAGGGAACTGTGCTTGTAACATAGAGGCTGTGACTCTCTGACAGTTCAAATCCACCAAAACCTAAAGATTATGATTCTCTGGCAATTCAAATCCGTCAAGAGATCCCTAAGCTGAAAAATGAACAGTCTTCTACTATGCAATTTACAGCCTTGAAAATCCTGTGGAGGATTGACTGTGAGTTGATTCTGACTAGACAGTGATATGTTTTGAATATGGATAGAGAGAGAAGTTCTCTTAAAAAATATGGCTGCATATCATGGCCGCTCTTACTCAGCAGAATTGCTTTTCAAGGAAAATGTGAGCTTTCTTGACACAAAAGTAGTGCCCGCTGTGATAAGGCCGTGCAAGTCCTGAATTACAAGCCACTTAAAATTGAAGTCATTCCTTTGAGGTCTGTACAAAGAAGAGGAACAAGGGATAAAGGACGTCCTCTGGGCTTTGGTGACTCCCCAGTTCCTCCTTCTGGTCTGGAACCTCCATTTGTGCTTGTAATTCTAGACCACCCCTGCAGCCTGAGATTCCTTAGGCTACATCTTTGTTCATCTCTTATCCCCAACACAGTGCACTTAATTTGTCTGGTGCAAGGGTGGATGAACAGATGAATGGACGAGAGGTGTAGACGAACACTTCTGCTTGGAGAGATACTGGGCTATAGGGTGATGAATGCGTGCTTTGCAGCCATTCCTGCCACTTTGAGGAAGTCATTCAGTTTGTCTTCATTTTTTTCTAAGAAGTGCTTACCTCATAGAGGACGAAGTCAATGAGAATGCATGCAGACCACTTAGCATAATGCCTGACAAGGATAAAGTTTGCAAATACATGTTGGTATTTTTATTCTGTGGGGATTGTATAGTTTGTCAGGGCTTTGCTGTCCTAGAAGTCATGGTCACACAGACTTGAAGGAAGTTTCCAGGTCCTTCTCGCTTGCTTCCTGTCAGTATTGCTGTAGATTGCTTCCACTGCTATCAAGAAGCGTTGACAGAGCTCCTTGTCCGTGCCCTTGTGTCTTCCTGGCAGGCCGCACCATCATTCTCTCCACACACCACATGGATGAAGCGGACATTCTGGGGGACAGGATTGCCATCATTTCCCATGGGAGGCTGTGTTGTGTGGGCTCCTCCCTCTTCCTCAAGAACCAACTGGGAACAGGCTACTACCTGACTCTGGTTAAGAAAGATGTTGAGTCCTCACTCAGTTCCTGCAGAAACAGCAGCAGCACCATGTCGTACCTGAAAAAGGTGAGTTGCAGGCTGGTGCTGGGTTAGGGGGTGTGATAGCTTGTCTGCTTCTCCCGTATCCTGCCACGTTGAGGCCAGCTGTCTCCCTGCTCTCTGATCTCTTTGGGAATCTCATTGTGCTTCAGACAGGGAACACTCAGGAACTTCTATCCCTATTTTGCTTTCTCTGTTGGGTTTCATTCTCCCTCTCTGCCACCACCACCATGGGAGAAGAAAAATAAAGAACCATGACTGAGGAATGTTTGCTTAGTTTGCTCGTGGTATCATTAAACTTCATTGACCTTAGCTTTTCAGTGACAAAAAAAAGCAGGTATCTATTAATCCAGACATTCACTCTAATAAACTCTGTTCTTAAAAGAAAATAGTGATTATAATAGCATTGCTACCATTTTTAAAGGTGGGTTTTTTTTAACTTTTAAATCTACTGATTACAAGTATAAAGCAACCCTGAGAATGAGGTCTGAATAATCCTTATCACAGATGAAGGAAATGAAGTTCTGAGGGTTTGGTAGCTTGTTCAAGATAATCCAACATTTGAATAACAGTGGTGGGACCAGAACACAATAGCCAGGTGTGCTTTCCTCTGAGAGGAAAGAAGCATAGACCACGCCTGAGATTTATTAGGACACTCCTCTCTGCCTGTGCAGTCAGAGTTCTCTTTCATGGAAATCCTAAAATCATCTACATCCCAACCTCCAGCCACCATCTGTTTATTTATAAACTAGCACCTTGTTACTCAGAGTGGTCTGGAGACAAGAGCACTCACATTCCCTAGGAGCTTGTTTATAAAGCTTGGGCTTAAACTCTGACCTACCGAGTCAGAACCTGCAATTTAACAAGGTCCCCAGGTGACCCCAGGTGAACAGCTAAAGCTTGAGAAGTCTTGGACTGACTGGCTTGCCAGGTAAATTCCATGCCTGAGATAGTTGGTGAGCGGTTGGTTACATCATTCATCAGGAGGCACATTTCTGTTGACAGCTCTTGTTCCCAGCCCATTGGGGTTAGGCTGTCCACTTAGTAGACCCACGTTAAACCTGCTGCCCGCTTGCTTGCCTGACAGGAGAAGCGTTTTCCTCCATTTCTCACTAGTCAGAAGCCTTCTCCAGCAAAGGTGATGGTGGCTGTACCTTTGTTCAGTCCCTTACCCATTCTCACCTCCTTCTTTGCCATTAGGAGGACAGTGTTTCTCAGAGCAGTTCTGATGCTGGCCTGGGCAGCGACCATGAAAGTGACACGCTGACCATCGGTAAGAATTCTGGGGTTTCTTATTCAGGTGGTGCCTGAGCTACACCCAGCTGGGCAGAATGGAGGCAGAGGAGGAGAGGTGCAGAGGCTGGTGGTGCTGGATCAAGGTTTGCCGCGGGGCTGGGGCTGGGCGGCTGTGGGTGCGGGTGCAGCTTGGTGGCAGGGTTGGCTGATGCTTGCTGGGGAGCCCGGGGCTTGGGCTGGGAGTGGGCAGGGCAGTGTCTCAGAGAACTGAGATATGCGGGGGAGCTTTGGAGCAGAATCATGGGTCTGTCTGGACTCTGGTGTCACTGAGGGCCCAGCCAATAAGGGGAGATTACAGTTTGGTGCTTAAGGAGGAGGAGGAGAGCCCAGGAGATCGGGAGCAGTCTTCAGAGTTGCTCAGGAGACGCATAGAGACATAAGCAACTTTCCATCAGGAGCATGTGTGAAACTGATGGCCCTTAACCCCTACCATCTTTGTCCAGGCCTAATGGCTGGCATGGCCCAGGAACACAGCTTCTTCTACAAACCATTGATTAACCTTCTTTTGTGGTAGATTGAAGCTTCCTTTAAAAGTTTGGGAAGAATGAAGACTCTTTTAAAGTTACTTTGGTCACAGTTTCCATGGAAAAACCTAGAGTTGTAGCACTATACCTTAGAAAGTCATTCATTCAATGTTTTCCATGCTTTGAATACCTATAGTGCACCTGATTTTGTTAGCAATATAAAAGGAAGACTTAGTTCTTGGAGTCAGAATTTCTCAGGCTAGAGAAGAACATGCAGAATGACGTAAGCATATGGCACAGGTCCAGCGTATGAGCTGCGAGCTTCTGGGGTGCAGGCTGACGGAGAAGGCAGGGACTGGCTGGCCCTTGCTTGGTGACCCCTGAGCGGCTGAGCTGTCCTTGTGCTCTTGTCCCTGCAGATGTCTCCGCTATCTCCAACCTCATCAGGAAGCATGTGGCTGAGGCCCGTCTAGTGGAGGACATTGGCCATGAGCTGACATACGTGCTGCCTTACGAAGCCGCCAAGGAGGGAGCTTTTGTGGAACTCTTCCATGAGATTGACGACCGCCTCTCAGACTTGGGCATCTCTAGCTATGGCATCTCAGAGACCACCCTGGAAGAAGTAAGTGATTGAATGTCAGCATGGAGCTCTGGTGACAAGATCAGGGAGATAGTGGGCACTCCTGCTAGGAACAGGCCACAGTGGGGCTGGTCACTGTGTCCTCTCAGGTCTTTGACACCAGGGTAATTAATGTTGGATCCCCTTAATCTTTCATCCTGTTGGATGAAATTGTTGAGATAGCTCTTTGGTAGGGTTATATCAAGTAGATTCTCTTAACCTGAAGATGGGTTAACATATGTGGAAGATGTGTTTGTGAGAAGTGCTGCAGCTTATTGATGGTGTTTTTCAAATAATCAGTATAGATTCATTTAATCTTCACAGCAAGATAAGAAAATCTAACACTTGAACATACTGGGATCCAGAACTAAGCTTTTGGGTCTGAGAGCCCATTCTGTCTTTATTGTACAGCATGCCTTTAAATGCAATGTTATAGATTGTTGTCTTGGAAAAACTTAGCTGACCCAGTGATTCCCAAACTTGACTGTCTGTAGGATCATGTGGGGGGCTGTATAGAGGCTAAAAATTGTAAAGGTAAATTCCAAGGCCTTTGAATCAGGATTTCTGGTGGTCAGGCCTTCGAGTCAGTGTTTTTTCATCATATGCTTCCTAGGTCCCTTTTTTGCATCCAGGGTCTTTAGACGAGGGGTAGAGTTCACATTCTCCCCTCATGTTTGAATCCCTGCTGTATCATTAGCTCTTGCCTATTTCTGGTGACAGAGCTCATTGCCCCCTGGTCAGTCCATCTTGAATAGCATCACAGAACTAACCTCACAGATTTGAGACCAAACCTGGATGAAGCCACTTGATATATCCCCTGTAGGTTCAGAGCAAATTGCTGCTTCTGCTGCTGCTGCTATGTCCTCATGTTATAACTTTAATTTGAAAATGATTGTCTGGATTGATAGCTCTCAAGACTGAGAAAGAAATGGTCTCTGGCAATAACGACTATGCTCCCAACTGAAAAAGTGCTGTTAATAAATGTGGCTTCTCCTTTCCTTTCCTTAAGGGGCTAACAGGCCATTCAGTAATATAATAACCATGGTAATAATGGCTACTCTCCTAATGTTAGTGCTTGTAATGTTCTTGCCTGCTTCTTCTTTTCAGATATTTCTCAAAGTGGCGGAAGACAGTGGAGTGGATGCAGAGACCTCAGGTAACCCTCAAAGATTGGTACCCTCTTGCTCGGTAGTGCCCCCAGCAGGCTGCGAGAGACCACTCGGGATTCTCTTTGATTCATTCTATTCCATTCTCCTTTGCAGTGACTAGGTTTGCATCACATGGGGAGGGCTTGGTTTTTTACAGATAAAGTAAGATGTAGCATTTCTTTCCTTGGCCCTCAGATGGCACTTTGCCAGCAAGACGGAATAGACGAGCCTTTGGAGATAGGCAGAGCTGTCTTCACCCATTCACAGAGGACGATGCCATGGATCCCAATGATTCCGACATCGACCCAGGTTGGTTCAGACATGATCTACTCATCATTATTTGAAAGTGAATTCATCCAGGTTCTTCCCAGGTATTTGTTTTGGTGGCGTTGAGCCAGGATGATAGGTCCCTACAGACTACAAAGGGAAATAAGAAAAAGGAGAACAGTCACTTTGCTTTTTCCAGAGTTGTACACATTGGCCACATGTGAGAGAAGAGTCTCTTCTCATCTCTTCTGTCATTAGACTGAGATCTTCTCTTCAAGAGACACATAGAAGAGGATTTTTCACTCCTGGGGACCCATTTATTTGTTTTCTTTTCTGGAAAGTCCTTGTTTGTTAAGCTTACGAGAAGTTTAAGGATTGCAAAGATGAATGATTTTGAGAGTGTCAGAGAGGTGAATTTGTTAGTGAGGTTAACTCTGCCATTGGACTTAGATATTTGGGATTCTGACTCTGCCATTGACCTTAGATATTTGGGATTTGTGTGTCTGTGTTTGATTGGGATGGAGAAAGGGAGCAAGAAATCTAATAAGTATTGATAAAATGCCCAAGCTTTAAGACAAGGACTTCTATAAAAATTTTAGGAAGCAAAATCGTTCATGCCATCTCAGTCACTTGTCAAATGAATGTATATCTCCTATGTTCACTGACAGTATTTAGAGATCATTTAAAGTGGTCTTTTTTTAGCCAAAACCAGAATCAGAAACAATTTGGTGGTATATGTTCTCAAGCAAGTTGGCATACATATGCAACTTATTTCATAAAATTCCTTATAGAGGACTGAGCCTAACTCGCTTCATCTGAATGACAGATGACATTTTTATGACAGAGGGACTTATGTGTGGACACATCTTTCATTTGCCTCAAAACCCTTAATTTTCTCCTCTTATCAGACAAAAGCTGAAAGGCTGAGGCTTCTGCCACTGGATGTCTTAGGTCCTAAGGATTTTGGAGTGTGGCTTTGTCATGAAAGCCCTTCACATCTAAGATGTATTTTACTTCAAATGCAAGCCCTCAGGCTGGTTGATGAAGGCATTAAGAGGTTGGGGCATGACAGTGTGGAAATATGTCTCAGATAATTGGTGACCCTTTGTGTTGCCTTTTTGCAGAATCCAGAGAGACAGACCTGCTCAGTGGAATGGATGGCAAAGGTTCCTACCAAGTGAAGGGCTGGAAGCTCACACAGCAGCAGTTTGTGGCCCTTTTGTGGAAGAGGCTGCTGATTGCCAAGAGAAGCCGGAAGGGCTTCTTTGCTCAGGTGAGAATTAGTGGCAAAGGCCCAGAGCTTAAGTCTCATGGATGGGCTGCAGGCTGCCTGTCTGCGAAGGCAAGAGGGGGCATCACTGTTAGGAGGTGGATGTTGAGACAAGCTTACCCATGTTTCTGCCTCTTCTAGTTGTGTGCTCACAGGCAACTTACTTCTCTGGGTTTGATTTCTCACCTGCAAAATGGGCATAGCAGTATTACCTGTAATTAGGATTGTTAATTAGAATTAAAAAATATTTTTATGTTCATTTTAATTGTAGAAGAGAATGAACAAGGACAATGTGTAGAAAAACTAGGTAGGCAAATATAACTTTTATAACTTGAAAAATGTGATGAGGTACACTTAACATATGCATTTATTGGGAGCTTGATTTTTCAACTAAGTTGAAGTTTAACTGCAGACAGAAAAGATAGGTAGAGAGATTAGGATATAATGGGAAAAGAGAGAAGGCTTGATAGGCTCTTGCTTGGTTGTCAGAGTTTGTATTTGGCCTAATGGCAAGAAGCTGCGTTGAAATCCTGAAGGCATGTGATTCGAGTCTACCAGCTGCTCTGCATGGGAGAAGGATGGACAGTCTCCTCTTGTGCTATTAACTGCTTCTGAAAACCCACCGGAGGGTCAGCTATGGGTTGGTTCTGACTCAACAGTCTACAAAAACAGCAGGAGAGAAGAAATTACTTTCTAAACTGAGGAAGGATAGAGCCAAGACCTATAGAGATTCTTTCTCACAGACTGTGGTGGTGATGGGAAGAGCCTCCGTTTGAAGACAGCTTGCAGTTTGAACTCTGACTTTGCTACTTAGAAATTGTGCCCCATTGGGCCGATTACTTAATCTCTCTGGGCCTTGATCTCTCTGCTTGCACATTGGCGATAATGATTACGAGTACTTGGGGTTCTTAGGAGGGCCTGTGGCACTGTGGTTAAGGCATTTGGCAGTTAGCCAAAAAGTTTAGAGCTTCAACCTCAGCAGTGACTTTGTGCAAGAAAGAGTCGCTTTCCCTTTAAATCAGCATTCTGTACCTTTAAAGATTTATAACCTTGGAAACCCTACAGAGCAGTTTACTCTGTCTTACAAGAATGCTCAGTTAGAATTGACTCCATGGCAGTAAGCTTTACTTAGGATTAGAATGATAATGAGATGAGGTAATTCTCACTACAGTACCCTCCTATAGATTTATTAACTAACTAGTGAAGTGCTGTCTGACATACTTTAGGCATGTAGCAAGGAGAGACCAGTCCTTGGAGAGGGACAGCATGCTTCGAAGGATAGAAGGACAGCATGAGAGAAGAAGACCCTGTATGAGATGCATTGACTCAGTAACTGGGGTAATGGGAGTAGGTGTGTCAGAGACAATGAGGTTTCCCCAGGATAGAGCAGGGTTCAGACCTGTTGTACATAGAGTCGTTAGTGTCGCAACTGACTCGATGGCACATAACAATGATAATTTTGTGCATTAGTATCCTAGAATAATAGAACCAGAGGCATCGTTTTTTAAAGTATGTATTTCTCAACAATTAATTGGACTAGCTTGAAGTTTACCTGGAAAGTATGCACAAGTGATTCTTAGAGAAGATATGGATGGGAAGTTTGTAGAGGTTCAAAGGTAATTATACTTTCTGAGGTGACCATAAGATACCATGACCACTGTTGCTTTCCCGTGTACCATGGCTGTAGGGCTGGTATTACCAGTGTGAGAATGGAATGGGTCATCTAGGCTCTGTCCTAGGATTAAAAAAATAGAAAAAAAAAATGAAACAAATGAACAACAACAAAATAAAAAACAACAAAAAACACCTCCTTAGGCTACAGGGAAGGTGACTGCCCTGGAAACAGCGCCAGGCCTCAGGTCTCTCACTCTGGGAACAGGGCTTATTCAGCCTGTGTCCCTGCCTTTCTCAGAGCTGTGCTGGCCTCCAGACCTAGTGCTGTCTTATCTCGGGTCTTCATGGGGAAGATGGGCAGAGCCCAACGTTCTGGCATGTGACCACTGTTTACTCTGTAAAGTTTTCACCTTAGCGCCTCTGCCGAGTAGCCATGGCCCCAGGTCTTCTGTTGTCCAACTTCCAGAACAGTCATAGAGGGAAGAAGCTTTATTCTCAAAGCTCCATTACATACCAGTTACCAGTCAGGTCTTGGAGGCACCTGGACACTGTCACTGGCAGGCCTGCTATGAATTCCTCCAGAAGGGCCCTGCAGGGAAGTCTTCTCTCATAGTCAGCACCTTTACCTGCCTTCTTGTGTACCTCTTAGCTCTGTCCATTGATACAAATAAGACAGACCTCCCTGGGAATCAGGGTTAGTCAGACCTGAATGAGAGTCTGACCAGATTCATTTGCCTGCTAACTGTTGTTGCCAGGCTGGACCAGATTGCTCCAGAAGTCTCTTTAGTGAAGGCTGTGCCCATGGTCAGTACTGTACCTCCCTTCCTGCATAGCCTGTAGTCCAGGCCTCAGAAACCAACACATACTACTATCCTGGAGAACAGTTAGAACCTGTCTGCTGCCTGCTAACAGTAAGCACTGCTAATAGACCACAGTGTGCTAAATAGAAGGTCGGCATGTGGTACACAGAGCTGGGAGACTGTTGGGCTGGCTCAGAGAGCAACAAGGCAGACCTCCCTAGGGGTCTCCTTAAAGTATGACCGCCCTTCCCTCACCTGATGACTATTAGGGTCTGGACTGATTAGAACTCCTATTGAAGGTTCCTTAACGGTAGAGTGCGTCACCCAATTGGAAACTGCTCCCCTGTAAATACCACAGTGTCACTGGGTTTCCGAAACCAAGACCTCTTCGGACATCCTTCTGGGAAGTTCCAGCCCTTCCTGTGGAAAACCTGTGCTTCCCTGAATGGTAGATCAGATAGAAGTAGCCCCCACTAAGCAGGGAAGGAGCAAAACTGGATGGTAACACCCAACTTCAAAACTGGCTCACCGAGTTTTTCCTGCTAAAACCAGGGTTTCACAAACCAGAGAAAGGACTGCGCCCTCTGGTGAGCAGATTCATTAGTACATTATATACTTTTTAAATCTTAAGACTCATAAGTACATGGTGTCTTATCTGAGTGGTGGTTTAGCTGGAGGAGAGACTGACCACAGTTGAAAAACAAAATCTGGAACTCCCAAATCAGATCAGTCAAGGAGGAGTGACCATCTATGAAATAGTAAGCTCTGGAGGCTCTATCCACCTAAGAGCATCGAGGAGTAAGATGCTGAGTGCCGTTCAGTTGGAACTGACTCCTAGCTGACCCTCCAGTGGCTTTCAGAGGCAGTAAATCACATGAGAAGATACTGCCTATCTTTCTCCTGTGGAATAGTTGGTGGATTTGGACCATGTGCCTTTGTGTTTGGGAGGCAAAATTCCTTACCACTAAGCCACGAGATCTTCCTACTTTTCTTTGCAGAAAACAGTTCAGGCAAAAACCCACCAAATACTGGGGACAACTGAGAAATTGAACACCTTCAGAAATTCCGGTGCTCCAACTAAAAATTACAGTATGCACAAAGAAACAATGACCTAGGCAAATGAACATGATAAAGCAAGTTAAAGTACATCCATGAAAGAAAAAAAATAATGGGAAAAAAGGGCAAAAAAATGCAGTATTAAAAAACATACAGTGAAACAGTAGGTAGGAGGAATGAGGGCTGAATGTATGGCAATGTGGATGGCGCTTAAAGATCTACTCAATCGCCATCACAAAAGGACACCATCGTGTGACATCACATACAAAGACAAGCAAATAAATGTCCAGAGACCAAAGTTGGTTAGTAATTACTGAGAGTGGGAAGGAGCCCTGGTTATACAGTGGTTAAGGCATGGATGGCTCTCTAAATCCTGCTAGTTTGAACTCACCTTCCACTTCACAGGAGAAAGGTGAGTCTTCTGTAATGATTTGTCATCTTGCTAAGCTTGTGAGGCAGTTGTGCTCTGTTCTGTAGGGTCATTCTGAGTTGGAATTGACATATTAACAAGGCAGTGGAGAGGAGCCAAAGAGTATTAAATGGGGAAGGAAAAAAAAATCACACTGATTAAGTGTAGGGTTGAGCAACTGATAATTCTGATTGCTGTCAACAGGTTGCACACATAAAAAGTTGAATTAGCAGATGTTATGTATTTACAGCAGTGACAGAAAACCTGGTGGCTGCCGAGTCCATTTATATACAAGTGAACACCTTCAGGGAGTTAGTCCCTTTGTTTGGAGGTTCGGGGCCATGGTTTCATGGGACATCATTGTTAGTGCTTCTGTTCTGTCTCCTGAGGAGCCCTGGTGTTGTGGTGCTTAAGCATGTAGCTGCTCGTCAAAAGATTTTATAAGAGTAGGAGAAGCTCAACATCCAGAAAACAAAGGTTCTCACCACTGGGCCAATTGACAGCATCAGGGAAGGTTAAGAGATTGAGATTGTTAACAGCTTCAGTTTGCTTGGCTCCATAATTGACACTCTTGGTACCAGCAGCCAGGAAATTAAGAGATAAATTACACTGGGAAAGTGGGATGTCAGGGACCTCTCCGGAGTACTGAAAAGCAACAGCGTCAGTTTGGAGACTAAGGTGCACCTAATACAGGCCATAGTCTTCGCAGTTGCTTGCTATGCATCATTGAACTGGATAATAACTAGGAATGATAGATCTTTGGTGCTGGAGAAGAGTGTTGAATATACTATGGATTGCTAGGCCAACAGTTCTGCTAGGATCGTCCTGTAGAAGGAGAAATCAGGCTGCTCTTTGGAGGCAAGGATTCTGAAGCTTCGTCTGACATACTTTGGACATGTTGTAAGGAGGGACTGGTCCTTGGAGAGCACATTATGTTTGGGAGGATCGAGGGACAGTGCAGGAGGGGAAGACCCTCGATGAGATGGGTTGATTCAGTGACTGGGGCAATGGGGTAGGTGTGTCTGAGACAATAAGGTTGGCACAGAGCAGGGTTTAGGGCCCTTGTACATAGCGTCACTATGAGTTACAAGCAACTCTATGGCAAATAACAACAATAAGGAGAAAAGTGTGGCCATCTCTGCCTGTAGAGATTATCGCTTTAGAAACCCTGTGGGAAGCTCGCCTCTCTTCTGTAGGGTTTAAGCTGGAATTGACTCAGTGGTTATCATTTTGGGTTCTTGGTTTTAATTCTGCCTCCTAATTCATTGTTGGAAGGAGGAGTGGCATCCACTTCCATAATAGCTTGCCTCCAGAAACCCTGTGAACCTGGAGAGAGGATGAAAGGCAGCCAGCCCGTTGAGGACTCTCCTTCATAGGGTCGCTATGAGTCGCCTGCGACTCGAGGGCACTTAACAACAACAACAGCAACAATTATTCATTGTAGTGCAAAAGTTTGCAACAACTTTGAGGCATGGCAACTGGTCTGTCTTTATCTGCAGCAATAAGAAGAGATGTCATTAAATTGTACATGTAGAAATTATAGATTGGTGTATGATTTGCTGTGTATCAATTTTTTTTTAAATGAAAGCCTTTGGGAGAACATGATAAGGAGTCCTCTTTTCTCAGTCCTGTGCTATGAGGTCTGAGAAGCTAACTGGACGTGTAGTACCATGTCCTTTTGCCCCTTTTCTAACATAAGCCTTTCTTTGGCTGTCTCTCTCTCTCTCACCCCTGCCCCATCCTGGGTATAGATTGTGTTGCCAGCTGTGTTTGTGTGCATTGCCCTGGTGTTCAGCTTGATTGTGCCACCCTTTGGCAAGTACCCTAGCCTGGAACTTCAGCCCTGGATGTACAATGAGCAGTACACGTTTGTCAGGTGGGTACATGCATGCGCTCTGCACCCATGGAGAAAGGAGAGCTCGGGCAGGTTAAGGGGGTCACTGTGCTGAGGACCAGGAAGAGATGCAGAAAGCTCCCACAGAGACACAAAGAGCCACAGTGATCAAACCTGAAATAATAGGCCTAGGTTGCTTCATTTGAACACTTTATACTACTGATACCAAGAATAAGCATATGTCAAGGTAAAATAACCTGACATGCTAAAGTCTACAGGTAGGTTATAATACATTTGGACTCCATAGCTGTGCTTTTACTTTATAGTTCAGTCATAAGACTTCTTCAATACATTGTTAAATCATAACACCACCAGTAGCTTCATGCTTTCTTTTCTGAACAGTACAATTTGTGTATTTATTATATCTTCTTGTGGTTTGTGGGTATTAGCCAGTGTTTGTTCTTTAGACAGAAACATCCCCTGCTCTGTAACAGGCCAGCACTTCAAATAAAAGGACTGAGGAATTTCTAGGTCTCATTTCTTGTCAGGAAGGTATTTTCTCCCTTCTGTCAGATTTGCAGATCTCTGGATACAAAGTGTGTCAGTGATACAGAGGGGAAGTTTTTTTTTTTTCTTTGTTAATATTTTTTCTAAACTTAATGCTTTCTTCTTATTTTGTTCTGTCATTTCCCCAGCTTCTGACCCTATATTGCCCAGGGATGGGGACGTGGCTTGTTTTGTGTTGTGACCTATGTCCATCCTTGTTTATATTAACTGGTTGTCAAAGAAAAACATCAGCCAATTATATCTGCCTCCTCTTTCTGGAAAAATTCTAGTTGTCTATGTCTGGTAGATAATTTTGGAAGTACTTTTGAAATCTCAATTCTTACTAACTTTGTAATAAAATGTATTTTTAAAAAATATATATGTATGTGTACATGTACATAAATATAACCCTTGAACAATGCAGGGTTGGTGCTGTAGACATCTTGTACAATTGAAAATCCATGTGGAAAACTTTTTTTTAATTATTAATTTCAATGAAAATTTACAGAGACTTTGGATTTCCATTCATTCATTGTTGGTGAAAAACTTAACCACTATTATTAGCCTATTCGTGGTCAGAAAACTGACTAAAGTATAGTCAGTTAACACATGTTTTGTATGTTAAAGGCTGGACCCTCACAAAATGACATTTTCAATACAAAATTAAAAACGGTACCTTTTTAAAAGTGCCCAAGTTTTCACACCTGCTGGTATGACTGCATTGACTATTTTGCAAATTTCCTTTTCTATCTTTTTTATTTTCACAGTAGTCCTCTTGTTGAAATACTTTGGCACATAGTATATATTTCATGTTCAGTTAAGAAGAACACTTACATCTTCTGAATCCTGGTTTTCATGAATTACTAAGCAGCTGCATCTCATGTTCCCACAGTAATGATGCTCCGGAAGATATGAGCACCCAGGAACTCTTGAATGCCCTCACTGGAGACCCTGGCTTCGGAACCCGATGTATGGAAGGAAATCCAATCCCGTAAGTTCCAGTTTATCCACATGCTCCCTAAGTCGCTGGCTTCTTAACTCCTTTTACTTGGTTTGATCATGTATACCCTGCACATGTCTGCTGCATTCCACATTTTGACTGCTTTCAATTGACCTTTGAGTCATTTTTCATTTTTAAGAGCACATAAAAAAGTCAATTTAGTAGCATACTAAACTATCTAGGAACAAATTCTGGTGAGGCCACTAAAATTCTTCAAAGCTAATCATTGCAGATGCCTATTTATGGTTTGAAAATACTAATATTTAATTTACATGACTTTACATGCCTGATCAAATGCTCTTCTCTCTCTCTCTCTCTCTCTGTCTGTCTCTCTCTCTCTTTCTGTCTCTTTCTCCCTCCGACCCCCTCCCTGTGAATTAGCCATGACAGGCTGCCATTATCTGTAATTTGACGTTTAGCTCCTCAAATATTTTACTGTAATAAGATGACATATAATGCCATAAAACTGGGTATTTTCTATTTTTAGAGTTGCATATATTTATCTTCAAAATACGTTTATTTCTAAAATTGGCAATGCATAAATAAATTACGAGAAGTACTCATAATGATTTTAAGTGTGTAGACTAAGACATCCTGGGGCATCATTGTAAGTGAAGTGCGATAGGTTCCTTGTCCTCTTCACCACATACTCCCAGATAGGTGTCCTCTATATAATGGATGCTCAGTGTATCTTTGTCCAGCAAACAAATGGGTGAGTTGCAGTGTGCTGGTAAATTGGATCGAATGGTATTCCATATGTGAGCATTAAATACGGTTGAATTATAGAAACCTTACTGTAAATGATTTTTCAAGCTTATAAGACTGATAGGGGATCAGTTGGATGAGACTACATTTGTCCTTGTGACGTTATAAAGGGATAGAGAAAATGTTTTTTTTGGTTGATACTCATTAATCCTGTGTTCTGGAGAGAAGAAAATAGCTGGTCCTCCTGGTGATCCTTGGTAACTTCCCTTTGCAGATACAAACCCTGCTTGGTGGGGGAGGAGGAGTGGACCACTGCCCCTGTTCCCCAGACCATCAAGGACCTCTTCCAAAAGGGGAACTGGACGATGGAGAACCCCTCACCTGCCTGCCAATGTAGCAATGACAAAATCAAGAAGATGCTGCCTGTGTGCCCCCCAGGGGCAGGAGGCCTGCCTCCTCCACAGGTGAGTCACCATCAGAGAACACCTGAGCAGATGAGGGCGGGCCGCCTCTGCTTAGAGAGCTGAGATGTCTGAAATACCATTGCAGTTGGGCTTTTTTCCATTGTGATCTTGATTCTTGTCAGATGGGAAGCATGGCAAGCCTTTGAGGGGTAGAGGCCTGGATCATTGTTTGATATCTGAGGGAGCTTAGCCTGTTTCTCCATTTTTTTTTTACCCCCATTGTCTTTTTTTCTTTTTTTTTTTTTTATAAATTAAATGTTTTTCTTATTAATGATTTTTTAAGTGCAACATACAGTTTTTACAGCATATTCTTTCCATTTTATTTTTTTCCCCATTCATTCATTGTTGCACATTTTCCTCCCTGCCCATCTCCTCCCCAGTACATTTTTCTCTTTGAAGGAAAAAAAATTATTTCATTGTTATACAATCCCCTGCCTCCCCAAGTCCACTGTCCACTTTAATATGCATTTGTTTTTCTGTAATCTGGTCATGGAAATAATACCTAATGCTATATTCCTTTTAAACAATTCTCTCCCTCATCTGTTTCAATGCAGTATACATTATTTATCCTCTCTTCTCCTAGGATCCCCCAATCCCAATATCAGTCCCATTTTACAGCAGTAGCACTATACCAGCATGGATCACTTACTTGTTTGAGTTAAAACAGAAATGAAATATTGTAGGAAATTGGCTTGGGACAGAAATACGGTGGCCTCTCCCATCACGGTAGTGTTCCAGGAAGAGGACCTGACTTCGTACATATGAGCTGGTGGGCAGATCAGTCTCTGTCCCTGCGCCTTTGTCCTCATGGATGAATCCTGGAGGTTGAATCAGTAAACTTCAGTCAACCCTGACCACTGATTTTGGGAAGACATCCTAATTTTTTCCCGAGAATAATTTGAGGCAGAGCCTTATTGATGTTACTGTTTCTTTATAGTCATCAGGCTGTAGATCAAGAATTGTCAATTCTAAATGAATTTGAGGACTCAAAGATGTCCTAGTTCCAGCTAATCTGTTTCTCAGTATAACTCCAGTGAATAAAAGAATTCACTAGACATGATCAAAGACTCTTCTCCTTAAAAACCTTTTATAACTATAAATAACCATATTTCACTCTGTGGTGTTTATTTGTGTAGAATATCTTTCCAGTGAAGACCTTGGCTGGGCATAGTGAATGGCCAGTACCAAGGACAGCATGAAGCAGGCCTTGCTTCTGGGTGGCTGGCAGTGGTGCCTGAGACTTGTGGTCAAGGCTTCAGTGACATGCTCGAAGGGCATATGTCACTACAAGTCTTGAGATATTCTCTGTTCCATTTCTCTATAATGACGCTCGTGTTTACTTTTTGTATGGTGACAGAGGAAACAGAATACTGAAGATATTCTTCAGAATCTGACGGGAAGAAACATTTCCGATTATCTGGTGAAGACATACATGCAGATTATAGCCAAAAGGTGAATATTGAATAACCTTGGTTTCCTTCCTCATTAGTGATGTCGAAGAACTGAAGGTTTAAAAATTATGGGATGGAATAGTGGGAGAAACATCGTGTTTGGCCTTATTAGTGTCTCCTGGAAATTTAAGCTAGTCTGTCAAACAAAAATAAATCATGAGAGGGATTGCACGTCAGCTTAAAAGACAAGAACACAAATAAATCTGGATTCAAATTTGAATCCTGTCACTTATTGACTGCTTGGCTGGGACAACTAGGAGTTTGCTTTTTTTTTTTTTTTTTTTAAAAAAAAGCCAGATTTCTATCATGTGATAATAGTGTTGTTTTTCGGTTTGTTGTGAGGGTGAATTGAAATCTGTCTTGGATGCTCTGCTATGGGCGGATATTAGGGGACGTCCTAGAGAGAGGCCTGGGCTCAGCAGCAGCCTGCCTTGCCTTGGGCTCCGTGGAGCTTCCTGAATCATCACGGCACAGTGGAATCCTTAACTGATGCTCGAGTTCCGACTTCTTCCTTTTCAGCTTGCTTAGCTTGGCTTCGCCGTTAGCCAGTCTTAGTAAATTTAAATGACAAGTGTGCATTGAAAGATCATTCCATTTGGTTCTTAAAGAAGAAACAGGGCCACTCTATATGCCCTCAGTCATCATTTGCTTTGAATTAAAACAAAACCCCAAACCAGACACCTTACGAGGGGCAGATAACAGGAAAAGAGTGGGCAGATGGTGAATAGGAACAGATGAAGGAGAGGACTGTCTGAAAGGAATGCATAATCAGGCATTATACATACGACATTTAACAATCTGGAGCAAGAAGTGCATTAGAAAGTGAATGAGGGAGGGGGAAGGAAGGGGAGTGAGGAGAACGTGCCACCAATGAACAAACGAAAACCCAGCCTTTCTGTAAACTTTCATTGAAAACCCAATAGGAAAAAATAAGAACCAAGCCTAATTCATAAGCGCACTGTGAAGAGTAAATAAAAAGTAGCTCAAACAGTGCTAAGAACAAAATAGACACTCAATTTGTTGTCATTCCTCCTTTTTCTTGGATAGCCTTCTTGGCTTAGGTCATCAGTTTTATCAAATTAATAGCCAATGAATTTGAATCTTCAAGATTCATGTTTCTCCTGTTTACTTTTCAAATGAATTCCAGTAAATTTATTTTTAGTTGTGATGTACATACTCATAAAGTTAATAACGTAGCCCCTCCAGCAAAACGAATAAAAATAAACAAATACAGAAATCTTAAAATACGACAGCTGTACTTCTTTTCAATCTAATGTTGCAAATGGCCATATGTATCTTGGTTTGTAAGGTAGTATTCAGATTAGTTAAATCCAAGGCAAGGTTCTTATATAAATAATGTTTTTTACTATCAGAAGAAGAAAGGACATACTGATTAGGGCTTCTTTCAGTTGATATGATCCTATCATGTCTCTTTAAGCATAAGCTGATTTATGTCCCTTTGTGTGTCCTTAACTAGGTATTTATTCTTTTTGCAATATCAAGAAAGGGATTAATGCTGTCTTTGAACTGATTTTCACTTTCTTTTTCTTTGGCTTTTTTAGCTTAAAGAACAAGGTCTGGGTGAATGAATTTCGGTAAGTTTTTGTTCTTTTAGTTTGGTTGGCTCTTCTGGTTTAAGAGTATAATTTTGATGCAGAAATGTGGATGGAGAAAAGGTGTTGGTTTAGGGACTGTTGTCACTCACTGTCGAGTGTCAATTCACTGAGAAATATAAGATGTGTCTTGGGATTTTAGTCAAGGGTGGTGTTTTTGGTGTTTGTTGTCGTCTGGCTGCCACTTCAGCAGCTTCTAAAATATTTGGCAAATTGATTTCCTTGAGGAGATTTCAGAATCTCTTGTGGGTTATTAGGGACTTCACAAGAAGTAGAATATTGTCAGGGAATACCTAACATAGTTATACTTTTACCCCAAATAAGATTCCCAAGGAGTCTTAGAGACTCAGAGTTTTTCAGGCCTCTGACACAAGGCCAAGAAGGTCTCAAGATTAATGAGGAGACTAACACTGAAATGATCGATTTCCATTTCTTTGCAACCCACTTATCTGTCTCTCTGGGTTTTGATGAGGCAGGTAGAATTAAGGAATAAAAAAAGAAAGAAGACTCCTTGAAGTAATTTTGTTCATCTTGGGAATGAAATGGCTCATACAGTTGCCTCAAGGGACCTCAGACCTTGACTTCCAGTCACTGCTTTGCACATTTCCTCCTCGATTTTTCCCCAGGTGGCAAGGATTCATGGAACTATGAGAAAAATTGATAAAGCCCTTAACAGTGGTCCTTAAGCTAGGGAGACCCAAGCCAAACTAATCCCAGTGCTGCCACCAAGTCAATTCCAGATCATGGTGACCTGCCATTGGATTTTTGAGGCAGTGAATCTTAATGAGGGAGCTCAGGTGGCAAAGCCCATAGAGTGTTGGACTGCCAAACTGAAGGTTGTACCTCCTTAGAGGTTCAAATCCACCAACAACTCCTCAAGAGGAAGATGGGCATTCTCCTCTTATGTGATTTACTACCTGGGAATCTTGCAGGAGGGGGAGAGGGAGAAGGAGAGGGAGTGGGAGAGAGAGAGAGAGAAG